TTTTAGTCTGTCGAAGAACTACTCAGAAAGGAAATGCATCTGTGAGACGGAAGAACTGACTTCGTGGTACTTTGAAAAAGTTTGGCGATTTAAAATTTTCATGAAGATATACAGAAATGAGATGATGATGCATATGAAAAATGCAGTTAATAATAGAAAACAAATGGCAAAAACAATTTTTAAATGAAAATGAGCTGGTTGCAGGATCTGCCTTGTTTTGTGTGTGTGTGTTTTTTTATCTTTTGCTTCATTTCCTGTGTTCATGTTGCAAACCAGCTCCTGGTTCTATTAATTGAAGGAGATTTCAGTCTTTACATCTACTTCCTGGAAAGAGTTTGGTAATTTTCCAAGAGCCACTGAATTAAAGCATCACATCAACACATGGCTCGTGGGCCATGTTTGGCGTAAAAGGCTGTATCATTCTGATCACAAAGTATTAAATAATTCACAAGTAAAACATAATCCAAGAAAGAAGTCTGTTCATTCATACACGATCAACACTAAAGCCTAATTTGCATTTCTCTGTCTGCGTGGGTGTGGAGACATGCAACGCCATTGTACATTAGCACACAAGGCTCGCTGACGGAGACATGCCCAACATTTTAAATATCCATCAAATTGACAGAGACTGCAAGCTTGTGATTGGTCAGGACGCAGCTTCCTTTAGATTCGTAGAAAGCACCGCCATTGCCCCATTAAAAAATGAATAGATATTAGTGGCAGACACAGAACAGATTAAAGAATGTCTCTAGGAAAAAGTCTGAAAATATGAACTTTTTTTTCACCCGTGACTGAAGGAGTACAATGATTTACAGCAAGCGTAATGAAACGTGTGTTTAGAAGTGGCAACCACATGAACAGGTGAAGGAGATGAGGGACAATACATTAAACAATGTAAACACAATAATAAGTACATGGACCAGATGCGGACTGTAATGGTGGCAGGATAGCCCTCTGTTGTCCTGGTGGGGAATTGCAGCAACACTCTCCAGGTGATGGCGAAATCTGAAAGTAAAATATCTCCATCAATGCATGTGCGCCTCTCCCTTGTGGAGCTGACGCAGAAGCATAAATTAGGCTTCAGTTAGCAAACCTGCTGTGACTCATCCATCTGAGTCAGAATGTAAGAGGGCTTATTATAGGGAAAAATAATGAAAAGAAAATAGTGAAGAACAAAGAATTTCTTGAAGAACATAAAAATATTACATAAAAAGTATTCAGGTAATAGTAAAAAATTGATGATATATAATATTAGATCACATTTTATTTATTAAAATGTGACGAAATGTGCAAACTGCCATCTGCTTTAGGATATATTTTGTTTTCTCCCAGTTCAGTCCACATACCAGCCTCTTGTCCGCCAATGTTTAACTTAAATATTTGGTTTTAAGTGAAGTCTTTGTCAAAGTCGACACCAAAACATAAAAATATGTATTTTATTTTTAAACTTTATTTTCATTTATTCATCATTAACATCAATATACAAAACTAAATTACTAAAACCAACATGAAAAGGGGACAGAAGCAGAAAACGTGTGTTATCTGCCCCTTTTCACTAAAATAACATTCATACAAATGAAATAGCAGTATAATTCTAAATTCACTAGTTGGCTAACACAACTTTAATTTGTAAAGTGAAGAAGAAAGAAAAGAAAAAAATAGTGAAAAACAAATACCACAGAGAGAAGATCAAGAATACATACATACACATACACATACATACATACATACGTATACACATATGCATACATACACACTTATTTTTTTCCCTTTTTCTTCCCCCTCCCCCCTCCTCACTCATTTATGTAACAGATTTATATAAGTTCAGCATTTCATTTTTAATCTGTTTTTTTAATAAATATTGTTTTTGCATTCTTGATTTCAGTTTTTAATTTATTCCATATTTTTACTTCATTTTTAAAGACACAATGCACCTTCACTAGCATAGGTATCATAAATAATTCATATCCTTTTACATCATATTTACTCTGTCTTTTTGCAAATCTTTTATTTAAACTTGCAGGTAAGTGTTTTTTGTTTGCACTGTACATACGTTTTAAAATATTATGGTCCACCAGGTCATAGAATTTTAGTGTTTTTAATTTTATAAATATTTTATGAATAATGGGTTGGATGGATAATTACCACCACCCACACACCACCCCCCAATGGTGAATAGTTGTCCTGCTTGTTTGACTTCAGTGCACATAATAGTCACTTAAGGTCACATTTTCAGAGTTGTATCCTCTTAAACTAGTTTAATCTATGTTATACAGTAATATGTACATGATAAAGTTATTAAAGATTTAAATATAAACAGCTTAAATTGGGAAAGTCCTGCAGCCACAGGAGATTTTGCTGAAAGTTTCTTTATTGTTTCACGCACAGTTACATGGACCAAGTTGTGAGCAAATCAATCACCTCCCAGCATGCATGTTCCTCCTATTTTCGCTTCTTTTAACTCACTAAATGTGAATCAAAGCCGTTTTGGTCTTTACATAAAATACAAGCAGAGCAGCATCTCCATTCATTCAAGGCTGAATCAATTATTCATAAATGATCCTGTGGACTGTGCTGTGCTGGGATCGATGCTTCAGTGCTGTGAACTGATATGAGCCCCCCAGTCGGCTTGGTTCTGCTGCATGTTAATGGGCCGTCAGGATTTAATCCAATGGAGGAGGCACTTCCTGGACAAAACCCTGCACCGCATCCTCCTGACACACTTAATATGAGATATGAGGACAACAGAATATAGACTCTGAAGGAAAGTTTGGGGAGTAACATCCGAGCTGCCTACATGAGAAGATAACAAACATGATTAGAGCTGAGATTACAGCAACGCTTTTTTGTAGTTGTGTTAACTTAAATAGGAAATACAAGTAAAATGCCACTTCAAAGGGATATTTCAGCCAGTCCAATGTGTGTTTCTGTGTAAAAACCCATGAACATCTCCAGGACTAATGAGCCAACAGATCAATGCCACTTAAAACATCTCAAATTCATTAAATTTTACGGTGGTTTGTGTAAATTTTATTTTACAAAACCTCACGCCACCAAGTTCACATCACATGATTATTTTAGCACTAACATGAAGAAATTCCTACCAGATGTGCTACAATCATAAAATAAAAAATGTATGTGAGAGTTTATTAAATAATCAATAATAAATTGCATGAACTTTTGAAACTTTAGGCTGTTTTAAGACGGCTGTAAAACATCTATGTCTTGGCTGCACTCTGAATAACCATTAGCTCCGGTTGTGAACTATTTCTCTGAACATAGGCTGTTCAGGATGATGCCTAAAACAGGAACCTATTTATACATTTTACACAGAAATGTGTCAATATGGTTGAAATATGTCTTTAGATTTTTTTTTATCTCCAAATTTCTCCTCGGGAACAGATTAGTCTTTTGATCCTCCGTCTGACTGTCTGAACAGGAAGTTGTCCCTTGGAGAGGACAGGCTGTCCTGGGCTGTTTGTGTTTAGATTGCAGTTGTAGAATCAGATAATGGTTTCTTATGTGGTGTTCTGTTTAGTGTATTGATTTAGATATCTAAATTTCACTTCATGCATGCATGCTTTTGCAGCACCATTTAGTTTGTTTTTTTCTATTTCTGTCATCAACTATTTGGACCGCTTTAGAGAATTAAAAATAAATAAAGATATTTTATTGTTTTTTACCAGTTTAGAGCAGAAATATGAAGTTTTTTTCCTCAGAAAGCACCATGTAAAGGCAGGAAAAATATACAACACATTAAGCCTTTCTCCCTACTTCCATGATTATATATGAGTGTGTGAGTGTGTGATTACAAACTGACATGTAGCTGATGTGCAATGTTACTGGCTAATGCTCAGTGGCATTCAATTCAAATTGCATGGGGCTCTGTGGAATGGAGTGGGGGGCTTTAGCAAAAAACTGATTTATTATCAGGGTAAGACTATAGCTTTTACGCTTTTGTAAAACCATCATGCAGAGTCCCTTAAAGCGGGAAAACTCCTGATTACTGTTTAAATTTTGACTCAATGATTCCTTTACTCAGCAGGGAGGTGAACTGAGGACGAAGACGATGCTGCAGATGTTTAAATGCGTCTGGTTCTTTCGGCATGCTGTTCAGTTTTACTTTATGAAGATCCTGTCTCCAGAGTTTTGAGTTGAATTAATTGATTTGGTTGTTGGCAGAACAAGTGGCATCCATCATTCTGCTCAACAGAGTAATAATGTGAATGACATTAAATATTCAGTTAAGAGGAAGTCCAGTGTTACTACAGCGTCTGTGATGTCAGGAGCTTATTGATGACTATACTTAATCTGTTGGATGCTGAACTCATAGAAGAACACACTATAAACCACTGGGAGTCATATTAGTTGTCTGATAGTCTGTTTGTTTCATGAATTATAGATCTTCCAAAATTCATGGAGACATGTGTGCATGACATCATGTTGACTGATGAGTCCTTTCATCTGCACTTGCTGGAAGTTTAAAATGGGAGGCCCGAAGGTCAATGAGTCAATAAGCACAGCTCTGTTGTTTCCTGCATTTGGGTCAATCGTTACTTTGAGTCAGCCCACAAATCCTTGTAGTGATCTTCAGATTCTGTCCTTTTGGAGCATTTTGCTGTGTTGCATCCTCTACAGACACACGTAAACGATTTAACCGTTCCATTAAATGAACTTTGATGCTAAGCCCAGCTTCATGCTAATGAAGTTAAAATGACTCAAACAGAACTGCAAGCAAATAATTCACTTTGTGTAGAAAAAAGTGCCCACAGGCTGCTTTTGTTATATGTTCTACATTTCTGGGATGGAAGACATCAATGAATGTGCAATGAGGAGAAAAGATGAAGAAAAGGATGCTTTACTGCCTTTGACCTGAGGACACCCTCCCCTCCTCCACACACACACACACACACACACACACACACACACACACAAAGCTCTGCCCACTGGGCCCTACTCCACCTCCATTCATTCATTCCTACCCGGCCTGCTTGGTGGAGAGGAAACTGCTGCTCCCTCGAGGGACTTGGTATCATAATTATATAGGAAGCAGAAGAGTCTGCCGTCTGTTAGAGGAGCCAAGGGCTGCAGGCTGCTGGATCACCTGCAGGTAGCATCTGGAGATAAATGAATGTTGAGCTCTGCTTCTGACGCTGTTTGGAAGGTAATATAATTCATCTTTACATACTTAATAACAGGGAGTGATCTGCTCACCGCCATTAAAACATCTAAACCAGTGATAGGTACTTGTAAAAGAAAGCTAAGATATTTTTCCTGAATCAAATCTGATTGGATTTGCTGGAAAGTGATGTTTGCTCTGCGTGATTTTAAATGTATTATCTCAGAAGAAGATCCAATTAAATCTTTACATGTTGATGCTGAACATGCCATAAATGCACATTTTAAAACAGATGACGTCCAGCATTGTTTTTATGGGTTGTGGAGCTCTTAGACTTCGTTGAGGTCTATGTCTATAAATAGATTTCAAGACAAATTTATTATTTGTGGAGACATTTATTTCTAGGAGTCTTTTAGAATTCTTTCCTTAACTTCTCATGAATTTTTACTCATTTGAATTTAAATGTCTGTTAAAACAATTACTTAGCAATATCAAGTTAAATGCTCAATCTATATACATAAAATACTAAGGCACTAGATTTTATCTTTGGATAAAGAGGCTCTATTGTAGATTCTGCCTAGTTAAGTCCCATTTGTTAAATTAATGTGTCGATCGGGATTTGGAATAATTTCTTCTCTCTGGAGAGTAAAATTTCCTTTTTAATTTCTGTAGCTCAAGTCAGTTTTTATCTTGTATCAAACTTCTATAAAAACTTTGACTAAAATGTTTTTCTCCTTTGGTTTGGGTATATTCCTGATAATACATCTGGACATTGTTCTTCTGGCAAATAAAACTGACAAGCTTGATCTGTAGAAGTGGAAACGGCATCATGCCGGGAGTGATTTATTATGTTTTGCAGAGACGTGGCTAAAGGAAATGATTCCAGATGAAAGAAGGGATATTTAACCAGTAATAGTTTATTTTGGGTTGAAGTATAACTGAATAATTCCAAATAAATACCCAGTACTATCAAGTATTAAATGCCTGATATAAATCTTTTACAGAAGCAAACATGTCTGAGAAGAAACCCCGTGGAGCAGACGCTCGGCCCAAATCTGGCCTCCGCAGCTGGAGTGCAGACAGTTACATCTGGCGGGGGAAGAAGCGCTCACGGAGATCTCGTAACGGGTCAAGTCCCGGTGGACTGGAGGCAGATGGCACAGAGGAGCTGGGTGTGCACTCCACATCCTGTTCCAGGCGGCGCAGAGAGAGGAAGTGCAGCTGCAGTGCCCTTGGAGAAACACTGACGGCCACAGACTTTGATGGAGTGTGTCGGAAGGCATTGTCTCGGCGCTCTCTCCGGCAGAAGTTCCAGGACGCCGTGGGTCAGTGTTTTCCTCTGCGCTCCCACCATCACCATCATTACCACCACCCACCGGGGTCTTCTCGACCCTTCTCTGTGCTTTTCTGGTCCAAACGCAAGATTCATGTGTCAGAACTCATGCAGGACAAGTGCCCGTTCTCACCCAAGTCTGAACTGTCCAAATGTTGGCATCTCATAAAAAGCCAAGTTCCTCACCCAAGTGCCCTGAAAGACATGAAGGCTCCTTTGAAGGTCAGTGTCTCATCTTCCACCTCCCCACCACAAACACCCATCTCCTGGGAGGACATCTGCTCCTCGCCCGGGCCTGGAACTGCTCCTCTTGATGAATGGGACCCTTCCTGCCGCCGTGGGGGAGCAGATGGCAGCTGTGACAACACCGACTACATCCTGGTCCCGGATCTCCTTCAGATTAACAACAATCCGTGTTACTGGGGTGTGCTGAACCGATTTGAGGCCGAGGAGCTGCTGGATGGCCAGCCAGAGGGAACGTTTCTGCTCCGAGACTCGGCCCAGGACGAGTTCCTCTTCTCGGTCAGCTTTCGCCGCTACAGTCGCTCCCTGCATGCACGCATTGAGCAGAACAGCAAGCGTTTCAGCTTTGATGTGCGTGACCCGTGTATGTACCGGGACCCCAGCATAACGGGCCTGCTGAGACACTATAGTGACCCGGCTACCTGCCTCTTCTTCGAGCCCCTCCTCTCCAGGCCCCTGCCAAGGACTTTCCCTTTCCATCTTCAGCACCTGTGCAGGGCTGTGATCTGTAGCTGCACCACCTACCAGGGCATAGACGGCCTCCCACTGCCACCTCAGCTCAGGGAATATCTCAGACAGTACCATATTAGGTGTGACGGGGCCTGTGCTGTATAAACATCCACAGAAGGAATTTTTAAGATCGAGAAATGAAGCAACCAAAAGAGGACCATCAGATTTACATTTAGCCTGTGGGACAGTTTGGACTTCTGTCATCATTACGTCAAAACAGAACATCTATGCTGGTGAAAGTTCTCATAATCCAGGTCATGGTAATCCAAAAGGGTTCAAATGAAAGCAACTGGGATTTTTCAAGACATCAAAGAAGTCCAGTTGCCTTCGTCTGAACCCTTTGGGAAGCAGGACATCATGTAGGTTTTCTAATGAGCTAAAGAGCTAACTGTGATTTGCTGAGCCACGTGGAATGTCAGAAGCTCCAAAACATTCATGTTTCCATCCTTAAGGGGAAACAACTTCAGCCTTATACTGTAAAATGAGAAGAATTAACCCAAATCACACCTTATATTAACTGCACCTTTTAAACCCCCTCAGGTAAAAAAAAAATCTTCCAAAAGGAAAATAAATAGTTGTTTCCAGCTTTTTATATTTAGCTGTATCCCCCTGAATATTGGGTTTTAATTTTACCTCAGTACTGGTGAGCTTACCCATCAGCGGCAAAAGTTTCATTTCTGATACAGCAGATATGTCCTAAGATCTCCATCTATTTGACATTATTAGTACTTCCCTCAAACCCTGCCTTGATCAATGTCTTTACACGTCTGGTGGAGGATTTATGTGCTGCAGGTGGGGAAAGTCAGTTTCATTATTTTGTTGTGCTATATAATTACACATTAAAGTATGATTATCACTTATACAATTTGTATATTGACTCATAAAAATGAATGTTTCATTCTAAAGTATAACTTTCTGATATCTGTTTGTTTACTTGTTGAAGAAAGTATTTTGTTTCCAGGTTTGGCTTGTTTTAGATGGGTTTTTTTCTGATCCTCCAAATTTTGACTACTGTCTACTGCAGGTAAGATACTGATTGCAAATAAATTTTCAAAAAATATTTAATCATCCCAAAATTTTCTTTTTTGCAATATGTTTGGAATAAACTAAAAGGCCTTCAAGAGACTATATATATATATATATATATATACATATATATATATATATATATATATATATATATATATATATATATATATATATATATATATATATATATATATATATGTATGTATGTATGTATGTGTGTGTGTGTGTGTGTGTGTGTGTGTGTGTGTGTGTGTGTGTGTGTGTGTGTGTGTGTGTGTGTGTGTGTTTTAATTGAGGTATTTTTTGTAGTAGCACTAGCACATAAACTTTTTGTGAAATTTGATTTTCAACCACATGATGGCACTATAATCACTCTGATCTCCTCTCATTGGTTCTGAAAGCCCTTCTGTAACTTAATGCATCTATATTAGTTTTGCTTCAACAGTTTAATCAAAAGCTCTTTTTGAGAAGCTGAAACTTACACACTGTACACAGCCAAACAGTAAAATCCTCTAAGTATTTTGCTTTCAGATACAACATCCTTTCTGTACATATTGTGTTCACTCCAGTCGATCCACAAACCAATAAATACCATTTACACTGCCTGTGTAGTTTGATTATTGTCTCGGGTTTCTCCCATCTCAGAGTAGATCACGCCTGCGTCTGTTTCTGCTGCAGCTGCATCATACTCAGACAAGCTAATGATATGGAAAAGGTTGCTTTTGAAATATCACTCGAAAAACAAATCATCACTCTCTCTGCAAAGGACACCTCTAAATGCCAGAATCAGTGGAAAGATAGAGACATGAAAAAGACTATTTTGGTAGAAAAGGTGACTTGTGTGACATCCAGCATTTCTCCAGAGGAAAATATGCAGCTTTCGGGTTTGAAGATCCAATATTTTACTCAAATTTAACTTCCACATGTTGAGGAAAGGTTGTGAAATCTCCTAAACCTTCTGCAGCGAATGACCAGATGTCCAAAGATCTTTCTGTTTCACATCCTTGGGGTGCTCACTGCTCACATATTCATGGACATTAAGGAGCCTCTTCAATTGATTTTCCTGAGACATACACATCAAATATTAATGTTATCATGCATGATCTGGTAACTGAGCAGTGATTTTTAGGTCAAAGTCAATATATAATTTTGGCTTCATGATACATTTAAAAACCAAGCCTATTCTTTATGTTGAACTTCTTTTTTTCTGCTTGTTTTTTTTTTCTTGTTTTGTTCAAGTGTAAATTCATCATTTGGCCAGAACCACTTAGCAAGTTCTCAAAGTATTTGGTCACTTTGTGCACTTTGAGGGTGTATTGTGAACTAGAGTTTCACCTCACAGCTTTCAACCGAAATGACTTCCTGTTTCACTAATTTAATTACCTCCTGAGATGAGCCTCAGATAGGTGAGGAGTCAGCCTGTTTAAAAAAAAGTAAACAAAAAATATATATTATTACAAGTATAATATAATATAATATAATATAATATAATATAATATAATATAATAATATAACTAATTCTTGCAAATGCCTTCTTTATTATTATTATTATTTCCGTTTTATTAGAATGATTGATTTAGGTTTGAATGAAATAAATTGATATATTTTGAATAAACAAACTATTAAAACATGCATTATAAATATACAGATTTACACGTTTGGCACGATAAATTCATTAAATCTTTACTCTGAAAAAGAAACCCATCTGATCTTTCATTGGCATATTTTATGAGTACATTATTTTCATTACCTTTTTATTCAGAGCTGTATTCGTCCCATCAGCATCTTAGTGCCAACTATTAAATTGATCTAATACATTTTATTTTGGAGGAGTCTTAAGTGCTTGCGTGATGACGTAGGTGGCGGGAGTTGTTACGCACAGGTTTCTGTTTTCAACTCGGCGCGGGAGATCCGGCTGGAGGAAAGTTGTAAGTAGCTTTAGAAGCTAGAGCTTTAAAACCTTATTTCAGCCCTTTTTTTGTAACATAGTTTAAATTGCTCACGGTTAACGTTTAATGTCTTAAGCAGCGTTAATAATGCCGACCGTGTAGTTTAATGAACCTCAAACGTCTTTATGCAATTAGTTTTAATGCTAGCCTTAGCCTCGCTTCAGTGCTAGCTCTTCTCCGGCACAACAGATGATAAATGTGTTTTGCAGACACTCTGGGGTTGTCTAGTATCTCCCAGCTAGTCCAGTGTGGTGTGTTGATTGTTCATTTATTGTATGTGTTTAGTCTAGTTTGTCTAAATGCCTTGTGAACGGAAGCCGATGCGCTACGGCCACTCGGAGGGACACACCGAGGTCTGCTTCGATGACACTGGCAAGTAAGTCCGCTTTCATCATCAAATGGCTCTTTAGCCTGTGTCAGTTGGTGCTCAGTTGTTATATTGGTAATATGTTCAACATGTATAGGGATAAAAGTTTATTCTTACATTGTGTTTGTTTTAGTTTATTCCCCCAGCTGTACATTCAAACCTGAACCATTTATTCTTAGGTACATTGTGACTTGTGGTAACGATGGAGATGTTCGGATTTGGGAAGGTCTGGATGATGATGATCCGAGGTTCATCACGGTTGGAGAAAAAGCGTACTCTTTGGCTCTCAAGGTAATTACAGTGATTCAGTTTTATTCATTAGCCTTGACCGGTGATTAAGCAGGTTTATTTTTGTGTCTCTTTCCTTCCACAGAATGGTAAACTGGTGACGGCAAGCTCCAACAACACAGTCCAGATCCACACGTTTCCAGACGGAGATCCAGATGGGATCCTGACGCGGTTCACCACCCACGCCACGCATGTCACTTTCAACAGCAACGGCTCGAAAGTCGCTTCCGGATCCAGGTACAGATAGTGTGAAGCCAGCGGTACGAGGTCCACTCCATGGGAGCTTTCTCTGGATCATTTCAGTAATCAAGTGTCACAAAAAGAAACAGGCTATTTTTAGGAAGAAACCAGCCTTTCTCCTGTTTTCTGAACTGGTAGTAATAAAATGATGGTGGGACGTCTGACTGAGCAGAACTGGAGCTGACATATGAACATGTCACATTTACTTGAACCGTCTGCAGTGTTCAGCAGTGTGCATGACTACACCAGGCTGTGTGTTTATTTGATGCTCCTGCAGCACAGCTGTGGGGGCTCTCAGATGGAACATCACTCTCTGTTTTGGTTTCCAATTTAGCTGTAATCAGCGTTAACCGTGTGTTTGCTGCCTGGACTGATTTTCTTTAAGCAGATTGATCCCAGCATTAAAGCCACAGTGTGATGCTTTATTGATGCTGCTGTTTCCACGTTGTTGTTGTTTTATTGATCCGTTACATTCTGCCATCTCTGGCTCTTCGGCTGGATGTTGGACAAAAATCAGAGTTATTCTTGCTTCCTGGTCACTGACTACACAAATCTCTTTTACCTGAGTCGGGTCACCTGTGTGCTTCTCAGTGACTTCATGGTGAAGGTGGTGGAGGTGTTGGACAGCAGCCAGCAGAAAACGCTGCGGGGACACGAAGCGCCAGTCCTCAGCGTCTCCTTTGACCCCAAAGATGAGTTCTTGGTGAGTAAAAATTCTGAGCGTACAGTGAGATAACTCATCCTGCTGCATTTCCCTCTGGTTTACAAATACCTGATTTGGTGTTTTTGGTTCTCATTTTAAAAAGCCAAACATTTTATTATTATTTTTTTTCTTTTAACCCTCTGGGGTCCATGGACGCGTATCCGCGTCTTTTGATTTGGGACGCTGTAGCAGCAAGACTCCGCCTCCCTGAGTTTCGGTTTCAATTCGTCTTTAAAAAGGAGATTATAAACTACACCCCAGTTATTAAATTGTGTTAATAGGCAACGTAAAAGTGGAGTTATACTAAAATAAAAAACAATCTATTTTTAGACAATCTGATAACTTGTCAAAAAAGCAGTTTAGTAATCTGTGAGAGGGAATGTGCTTGTGAACATAAAAAACCCACAAAAACATGAGATCCTTTTGCTTTAGGTGTAAGTCTCACATAATCAACTGATAAAAAGTATCATTATGTAGCTGAGAGAGAGAGGAAGGCTGCACGAGTAACCAGATGTGCGCAAAAAAGGAGCCGCTTGGCAGGGAAAGGAGTGGCGCGAACGGTGTAACAACAAACAATTAGACAGATATTGACAGAAAACTTCATATTTTGGAGCGATCCGGACAGATATATTGTCTCTGCAGTTTAGTAGGCTTTTATTAGGCTTTAATAAAGGATGATGAGAAGGATAAATGTCCACCAGGCAGTTCAGATAGTACGGCAGTTTTTTGAACTGGAAGCAGAGGAAGTGGAGGCAGACTCACAGCCGGAGTCTGAGGCAAATAGCGAGGATGTTGATGACGATGTGACAGATCCATCCTTCCTCATAGAGGAGTTGGGTCATGATGAGGTAGAGGATGAAAGCAGAGATGCAGCTCCTCGGAGATCCAACAAGAGGAGTGGGCGGCGCCGCGCAGCTGTCAGATCTCGATCTCCGCGGCGTGAGACAGAGCCACTCCCCACTCCAAAATGCATGTACATTATTGCCAAGTTAATAAAATAAGTATAAATTCAGATAGTCCAGGTTGTCCGGAAAAAAAAGAAGATACCTCATAAGGCAATATTTATTGTTTTTTATTAGAAAATACAAAAGAAAAACCAAAATGAGTCAAAAACGGTGATTTACACCCTGGACCCCAGAGGGCTAATAAATTTTTTTTATTTGTTATTTGCTATATTTAGTCATATTTTTTATAAATGTACAGTCTAGATTACCATTCTAAATTATAAAAAACATTCGTCATAAATGTTTGTTGGTTTCACAGTAAAATAAACAACTTTTTTCCATTTCGGATTTTATGTTTTTGAGTGATTTAAGGTCTGATATGCAACCCCTTTATGTCCAAATATAAAAAATAAGTATAAATTCATAAAGTCCAGGTTGTGCTGAAAAGATTGATACCACATAAGGCAGTGGTTATGGCTTTTATTTTGGAAATACAAAGGAAAACTCTAAATTAGTCAAAAACGGCCAATTACACCCTGGACCCCAGAGGGTTAATGTCCAGAACAAAGCAATAAAATATAATTTTTTGCCTTTTTCATTGATTTGGGGCAGTAAATGTCTGAATCTATATAACAGTCTTCTGTAATTAATAGGGGTGTAACAGTTCACGGGGGTTATTCGAACCCTTTCGGTTCGGTCCACTTGCGCACTGTTTTGGTTTATTTGTTCCATTAAATAATGAACTTTTCACACATGTGCGTGATTTAAGTGCAGCGGATGAAAGTTCCTCAGTGAGTTCCGCACAGACGCTGTAATGAGTGATGCTATGATGGCTGCACGCGCCCGATCTCCATTAAAAAATGTGATCTGCAAATTCTGATCAACGTCTTTCAGAGCAGATCAGACCAGTTGACTGTCGCTGCTACTGTGAAGAAGAAGAAGAAAATATCATTTCTATAGCGCCTCTCAAGATAAAAATCACGAGGCGCTTCACAAAAACAAAAAATGTAAAAATATAAAAAAGAATTTAGAAAATGTTTAAAAATATATTTAAAATGAGCAAAAAAATAGACAATTGTGATTAAAAAAATGTTAAGAAAGAGAGAGAGAGTGAATAGGAAAGAGGGAAATCAGTGGATCTTGAGGAAGGTGGAATAGGTGGGGAGAGCAGAATAAAGAGAGAGTGGTGAAGAAGGTCATACAAAAGCCAGCCTGAACAGGTGAGTCTTCAGCTGCTTTTTAAAGGAGACCACTGAGTCCACTGATCTCAGGCTCAGGGGGAGAGAGTTCCAGAGTCTGGGGGCCACAGCAGAAAATGATCGGTCACCTTTGGTCTTTAGCCTGGTGCGCTGCACAACCAGTAGGCTTTGATCACTGGACCTCAGGGACCTGCTGGGGGTGTAGGGACTAAGAAGATCACCAATGTAAGATGGTGCTTGTCCATGTAAGGCCCTATAGACCAGAACCAGGATCTTGAAATGAACCCTGAAGTTGACTGGCAGCCAGTGAAGCTGGAAGAGAAGCGGGGTGATGTGGGTGTGTTTGGAGGACTTGGTCAGAAGCCGAGCACAGGCATTCTGAACCACCTTCAGACGGTTCAGGGAGGTTCTGCTCAGACACGTGAAGTCTGTGTAGAGACTCTGAATCGTGCCGCCTCTCCCTCCCTTCTCTCACACTAAGCAGGCATGCAGCAGCAACATGTAAACAAACATGCCTGCTGAACTTCTCCGCTGTGACAATTGATGTAAAGTTTTCATCTTACAACGTAAAGCACTGCGTAGAGGACACTCGTTATTTAATACGAGTTTTAAAGAAGAAACTCTGGGCGGTGTGAGGTGAGCTTTTAAGAAATAAAAACACGTCAGACACAACACTCGTCTCTATGAGAGCGAGCTGCGCAAATCATAGACATGAATACGTAGACGCTCCATTGGACGTTGGAGAGTGTAACAGTGTCGCAGCCATGTTGGATGGGTCTCCTCACTCTCCAAAGTCAATGCAGAGTGAGCAACTATGCCCGTTTCTGTGCAGCCTACGGTTACAACAACCAGCGTACAATTTAAAACGGATCACATGGGATTAATAGTGACTTTTCTAGCCTACCTGATAGGATTTTATATTTAATATTTATTTTTTTAATTATATTTATAGTTTAATTACCAAGCCGTACCTTGTGTTTTATTTTATGAAAAAGCTTGATAAAATGTGTTTTTTACTTGGGTAAGTACCTTCCTCAGTAGAAATGAATGCACTGGGGCCTAATCTATGTAAAATGGCGGTCGGCCACTACGGCACCTCCAATAGACAGCGCCAGTCCACGGGGCATCTACGTATATATGTCTGTGGCGCAAATAACCTGTGAAATAATTAACGACATCATGCTAGATTAGCAGCCTATGATGACACCGGGCTCTGCTCACTATAGGAGCCGCTTCAGATATTAAATAAATAAATATTATCATAATATACCGAAAATTAATTGAACCGAGCCCTTCAAAACGCTGAACTGAACCGAATACGAGTTTAGCGTACCGTTACACCCCTTGTCATTAATATAAAAACATTATGTGATATTTTTATAATTATTATTTGTGTTAGATGTTCTGTATAAATATAGTTAAAAATGTGAAGCAAAGTCATCCAGTGCCTGTAAATGATGCATAAATCTCCCATTCAGCTACATTGAGGGGGTGGGGCTTAATGCTTATACTGCAGCCAGCCACTGGGGGGCTCTCGTTGTGTTTTGGCCTTTACTTGGATTTATGTTCCTGTATGCTGGTATGATATCGTGTTTGAAGCGACTAGTCCTTTTCCCCCCCAGGCCTCCTCCAGCTGTGACGGCTCTGTCGTGGTGTGGAACATAAAGGAACAGGTATGTCTGTGTGTTCCTTGTATCGTTTTAGCACAATAACCTCCAGTAAACAACACATCGTCTTGTTTTATCGGCCATTTGTTTCTGTGACCTCTAACGTAGACCCAGGTGGTCAGCTGGCCTCTGCTGCAGAAAACGAATGATGTCAGCAACGCCAAGTCTCTGTGTCGGTTAGCGTTTCAGCCCGCAGTGGGGAAGGTGAGGTATTACTTCTGAGTTGCTGCAGGTTTTTTTAGCACTCAGCTGATACAGGAAGATTTAAAAACATTTAAAAATGTGTGTTGGTTAGGTTTTAGCAGTTCCTGTTGAAACCAAAGTACACCTGTATGGGCGGGGCTCCTGGGACCACGTCGGCACTCTCTCTGATGATCTACTCGCACAGGTGAGAGGTCGTCATGTTAAGAAAAGCCTCTGACCTTTATAAACCTGTTCATCTGATGTGTTCTCAAAAATGTCTTCAGCCTGTCAACGTGTTGTCCTGGTCCCCGTGTGGACGCCTCCTGGCAGCTGGCAGCGTTGGGGGTTTGTTGACAGTGTGGGACGTCAGCACCAAGCTGTGTTTGGAGAGGTACGCGGCGATCCTGGGTTCAGGGGGCGTTGGTGAGCTTAATCCATCTGGATGAGCTTTTATGTTACTCAAGATGAACCTAGCTGGAAGAAATAATTTTCTTCAGTGATGTTTTTCCACAGATTTATGAATATTTTATGGGGTTTTTTCTCCCTAGAGAGAAAATGCATTAATTGCTCAAAGCTAACCCTAAAGGCCACATTAGTGATGAGTGTGTGTGTTGTTGCAGGCAGAAGCACGAGAAAGGCTTCACCATTTGCAGTTTGGCCTGGAATCCATCCGGCAGCCAGATCGCCTACACCGACACGGAGGGCTGCCTGGGCCTGCTGGACGGGATCAGCTCCTCCAGCACCGGCAAGGTACCTCCACTATCTCGCCACCAGTCCAACAGACCAGGAACCACGTTGGATCATCATGGATGTCCTCCGTTTACTAACCGGATTCCAAAAAAGTTGGCACACTGTACAAATCGTGAATAAAAACTGGATGCAATGATGTGGAGGTGCCAACTTCTAATATTTTATTCAGAATAGAAGAAAATCACGAAACAAAAGTTTAAACTGAGAAAATGTATCATTTTAAGGGAAAAATATGTTGATTCAAAATTTCGTCAACAAATCCCAAAAAAGTTGGGACAAGACCATTTTCATCAGTGTGTGGCATCTCCCCTTCTTACAACACTCAACAGACGTCTGGGGACCGAGGAGACCAGTTTCTCAAGTTTAGATACAGGAATGCTCTCCCAGTCGTGTCTAATACAAGCCTTTAACTGTTCAATCGTCTTGGGCCTTCTTTGTCGCACCTTCCTCTTCATGATGCGCCAAATGTTCTCTATAGGTGAAAGATCTGGACGGCAGACCGGCCGTTTCAGTACCCGGATCCTTCTCCTACGCAGCCATGATGTTGTGATTGATGCAGAATGTGGTCTGGCATTATCTTGTTGAAAAATGCAGGGTCTTCCCTGAAAGAGATGACGTCTGGATGGGAGCATATGTCGTTCCAGAACCTGAATATATTTTTCTGCATTGATGGTGCCTTTCCAGACATGCAAGCTGCCCATGCCACACGCACTCATGCAACCCCATACCATCAGAGATGCAGGCTTCTGAACTGAGCGTTGATAACAACTTGGGTTGTCCTTGTCCTCTTTGGTCCGGATGACATGGCGTCCCACATTTCCAAAAATAACTTTGAATCGTGACTCGTCTGACCACAGAACAGTCTTCCGTTTTGCCACACTCCATTTTGAATGATCCCTGGGCTGGCCCAGTGAAAACGCCTGAGTTTGTGGATCTTGCTTAGAAATGGCTTCTTCTTTGCACTGTAGAGTTTCAGCTGCTGATTTCTTCGGACCCATAACGAAAACTTTAAAAACTTCGTCAATATAATTTAACAAACTTTCTAAATTTCCTTCACTTACCTCCAGATTGAGTGAGTTATACTTACCAGATTATTTTTTCGTTGTCAGTAGTTAAATTAGGCAAAAATGCATCTAAATTGTTTGTGGATGTTTGCTAACGAGCTGCCATCAACTTCAAACGCTGCTGTGTCCCGTGATCGGCCGTCAGCGCATGCTCAGCCTGATTCAGTTTCTACTTCCTGAAACCAACTCACCGTCTCCGGATGACGAGACAACCAAACGGTGGACGGTGGATTGTGTTCACTGACGATGGTTTCTGGAAGTATTCCTGAGCCCATTCTGTGATTTCCTTTACAGAATTCCTGTTCATGATGCAGTGTCGTTTAAGGGCCCGGAGATCACGGGCATCCAGTATGGTTTTACGCCCTTAACCCTTACGCACAGAGATTGTTCCAGATTCTCTGAATCTTCGGATGATGTTATGCACAGTTGATGATGATAACTGCAAAGTCTGCTATTTTTCGCTGGGTAACACCTTTCTGAAATTGCTCCATTATCTTTCTGCACTACATTGTTGGAATTGGTGATCCTCTACCCATCTTGGCTTCTGAGAGACACTGCCACTCAGAGAAGCTCTTCTTATACCCAATCATGTTGCCAGTTGACCTAATTAGTGTTAATTGGTCTTCTAGCTCCTCGTTATGCTCAATTTTACTTTTTCCAGCCTCTTATTCTACTAGTCCCAACTTTTTTGGGATTTGTTGACACCATGAAATTTTGAATCAACATATTTTTCCCTTAAAATGAAAAATTTTCTCAGTTTAAACTTTTGTTCTGTGATTTATGTTCTATTCTGAATAAAATATCAGAAGTTGGCACCTCCACATCATTGCATTCAGTTTTTATTCACGATTTGTAGAGTGTCCCAACTTTTTTGGAATCTGGTTTGTATTTGTTTACTTTTCATTATGACAAAATGTCTAAAGTGAAAAGTTTAGACATTTTATTTCTGGATTTTCCTCCAGTCCAGGGGGTGAACCAGCTGATTTATTTTCTGTTTCAGTCTACATAAATGCAACATCTTATTTTGACAGTCCATTTCCTGTCTCTGGACTCCCTTCAGGCACCAGTATCAAAGCCAGCTACAGACTATGATGCCCTGTTTGATGATGATGATGACAGGCTTATGGATGAAGGTTTGAGCGACACCAGCTCACCTGGTAAGAAGCCTGTCGTTGCCAGGGACGACGGCGATGATGACGACGACTTCCTGGTTCCGTCGACCGGCCGGGTGAGGAAGAGGGGAGCCTTCCTGGATGATGAGAACTCGCTAGGTGAGATTTACTCGTCCTCCTCCTCTACTTAAGTCATGAGGAGGTTTGATCGATATTCAATGTTTTGTGGGTTTTATCCAGACACAGGTTCTCTGAAGCTGGGTCAGGATAGATTTGGAGACGATGATGGCGCCGGCAGCACCATGGCACCTGAAGCTGCTCCTTCGGTGCCCCTCCGCCCCGTCTACGAGGGCCCAATGCCAACCCCGCCCCAGAAGGCCTTTCAGCCCGGCTCTACGCCAGCGCACCTCACACACCGCTTCATGGTAGGACGGGTTGACTAGGTTTGGAGCTGTGCGTTCCCTTCATGTGCGTCCTAACAGTCCAGTTGTGGCTCAGATGTGGAACTCTGTGGGGATCGTGCGAGGCTACAACGATGAGCAGGACAACGCCATTGACGTAGAGTTCCACGACACAGCTGTGCACCACGCCATGCACCTCACCAACTCTCTGGGTCACACCATGGCGGACCTGTCCCAGGAGGCCGTGCTGCTGGCCTGCCCAGGCACGGAGGAGCTTGCCAGGTGAGCCTCCTTCCTTGACCTCTGTGTTTCTACTCCATTCTTCCTGTTGACGCCTCAAACGTCACCCGTGTCCACAGTAAGCTGCAGTGCCTCCACTTCTCATCATGGGACACCAACAAGGAGTGGCTTGTGGACTTGCCGAATGGCGAGGACGTGAAGGCGCTGTGTCTGGGGCAGGGCTGGGCGGCGGTGGCCACCAGCGCTCTGACGCTCAGGCTCTTCTCCATCGGAGGCCTCCAGAGAGAGCTCTTCAGCTTGCCAGGGCCGGTGGTGTGCATGTCAGGGCACGGAGAGCAGCTGCTCATCGTCTACCATCGAGGTGACTCATTTATGTCTGTGTGCATGAAAATAATTCCTCCAAGGTTTCTAAAAACCTTTTTACTCTAGGAGAGAAGCCACCACATCAGGTTAAAATATAAAATATATTTGAATCTGAGTCATTTTGCCCTATAAACTCAGTTTATGCTAAAAGAGGCTCAGAAATGTAGGTAAGATGTTAGAATTAAAGATTTTTTTTTACATGTCTTAGTCCATCGGTGTGTTTTGCATACATTCCACCATCTTTATTTAAAATGACACACACGAGATTGTGTGTTTTATCACCCGCCTCACATGGATGCTTGTGGTGTTTTACAGCCACCGGTTTTGATGGTGAACAGGCTCTGGGCGTTCAGCTTCTGCAGCTCAGTCACAAGAAGAGACAGCTGATCAGCGGAGAGCCCCTCCCACTGTCTCGCAGGTCCTACCTGTCCTGGCTCGGGTTCACGGCCGAAGGTCAGATGATAAGAATCCTCACTTAGTTTTCACTTTTTGTGTTTACGTGTGTGTTTATGAGCCGCTGCTGTGCACCAGGCACCCCGTGCTATGTGGATTCAGACGGGGTGGTACGGATGCTGAACCGCTCACTGGGAAACACGTGGACCCCGGTCTGTAACACCAGAGAGACCTGCAAAAGCAAATCGGATCACTACTGGGTGGTCGGAGTCCACGAGAACCCTCAGCAGCTCAGGTGAGTTCAGCACAGCCAATAAGACCACGAGTTAAGGAAGTAGGTTCTGATGGAATGAACTTTTTAAGGGAAGTGAAAACGGTAACAGAATGAGGGATTTTTTAAATAAAAATGTTTTTTTCGTTCTATTTGTAGAGATTTTTAAAATGTTTTTCCTTATGTGTGATGCTGGTTCTGTCAGGTGTATCCCGTGTAAAGGCTCCAGGTATCCTCCCACTCTGCCTCGGCCCGCCGTCGCCATCCTTCCCTTTAAGCTTCCTTTGTGCCAGACCACCACAGAAAAAGGACAAATGGAGGTAAAATAAGTAAATATTTTTTAATGATTTTCTTGGGCCAGTTCGTGCTAAAATGACCCTTTACAAGGTTAATGAAAGGCCACCCAGCCCCTATCGCCCCCTGTGGGCAGAATATTGCACTTGCAGCTTCAGACTGGCAGGCAGCTCTGTTGGGACTTGGGGGAAAAAAGGAGCTGACATAAGTGCCGCTGCAGTTTCCTGCATGTTTTAGATCATGAACACATCGATTTGTTTAATTTAGTGATGAATCGCTCATGTAGACACTAAAGAAGGCCAGGGAGATGTTTCACTTGTTAGATGAAGGTGTTAAAAAGATGAACGCACCTGCGAGGAGATAAGTTTTGGATTTTGATTCTACAAATGGACACTAGGGGGTGCTAAAAGCAGGTCAAAACCACCTAGCTCCCCTTTAAATTATATTTTTATCCCCGTATCAAACACCAAATCAGAACTTCTGTCTTCCAGGAGCAGTTCTGGCGTTCGATCCTCTTCCACAACCACCACAGCTTCCTGTCCTCCAGCGGCTACGAGGTGGACGAGGAGTCTCGGAGCCAGTCGCAGAAGGAGCAGCAGGAGCTGCTGATGAAGATGTTTGCAGTAAGAGGACGCATCAGTAGTGTTTATGACCTCTGACCTGGACTCTTTTATCAAAGAAATTATTTCTTTTAGCTGTCCTGCAAACTGGATCGAGAGTTCCGCTGTGTGGAGCTGGCCGACCTGATGACCCAGAACGCCGTGACTCTGGCCATTCGCTACGCGTCCCGGTCCAGACGACTGGCCCTCGCCCAGCGACTCAGTCAGATCGCTCTGGAAAAGTCTAACCAGGTCCAGGAGGATGAAGCAGAGGAGCAGGAAGAGGAGCAGGACTATTCCAGTGTTAGACAGACCTCTGGGTAATCTCAAAAGGCATTCCTCTCCTCACAGCTAAGCAACATTAGAAACACCAAAAATGTCTACAACTCAGTCAGAGTTTACAGTATAATTTAATTTCTTTACCATCTAATTTCTGTATTTACCTTTTGAGATGTGAACTTATCCCTCATGATCCTAAAAAATCCTGTCTAGGTGAAGTTGGGTAATCCTGACTTTATTTAACAGGTTTGGTCAGACTGGGCCCACGGCCGCCAGGTTCAGGCAGACAGAGGCAGAGGAGGAACTGGGAGAAGATGAGGAAGAGGAGGGAGGGGAGACGGAGGAGGCAACAGAGCCCAGAAAACGTCAGTATTACTCCTGTTCTCCTCACTGGGACATGAAGATAACCCCAGATAATCTGCTGCTTTGATGTGTCGCAGGTTCTAATCCGTTCGCTAAAGAACCGGGTTCACCTGTGAGACCGTCGCCGACCCCAGGTGAGTAAACAAAAATAAATATTAGGAGCTTTTGTTTCAGATCTGACATCTGTGGATCGTTGCTCAGATTCATGCCTCTCATTATTAGTTCTGGTGTCTTTAGTGTGATTTACTGTTTAACAAACTCTGCCTGCTGTTTGTGTTTTTGTGACGTTTTGCTGAATTTAGTGGTTTAAATGGCCTGCTGGTTTGTTGAAGGTGCTTGTTTAGCAGAACGTTGGTCCCAGTTACAGTGATTTAATGGTTCCTCAGTAGGGTTGGGCATCGAGCATCGATTGGAACCGGGACCAACTGTTAGTTTTTCCTGGAGTCTTCAAAGTTTTTTATTTCGATTCCTAGAATGCCGACCGGAAGTGGAATCCGCCCCTGATCTCCGTGAAAATACGGTAAACGTGATCTGCAAATTGTGATCGCTTTTCAGAGCTGATCACAGCAGCTGTCTGTGTGCAGCACGAGTCTCCCTCCCCCTCCCAGATATAAACAAACGCGTCTGCCGAACTTTTACTCCGTGACGTAAACTTTAATTCCTGTAGCGTGGAGGAAACTTGTTAAATACGTCAACACGGTGGATTTAATAGAAGCTTTAAAGAACAAACTCTGGACGGTGTGAGGTGAGTTTGTCTCACTGCAGAAATAAAAACACACGGAGCGTCAGCAGTCAGACACAGCCGCTCACCAACACTCGTGTGTGTGTGTGTGTGTGTGTGTGTGTGTGTGTGTGTGTGTGTGTGTGTGTGTGTGTGTGTGTGTGTGTGTGTGTGTGTGTGTGTGTGTGTGTGTGTGTGTGTGTGTGTGTGTGTGTGTGTGTGTGTGTGTGTGTGTGTGTGTGTCAGAAGGCTGAACAATAACCTGTAGAATAATTAAAGTCATCATGCTAGAGCAGCTTCTCTGGTGGACCACACCAGCTTCTGCCACAATAAATAATAATAAATCACATGCAAAGTTGTGAACATTTTAATTTCCTTTCTGAACTATTTCTGTTGAGAGTTTTAATGTTTAAAATCAGTTAAATGTAGCTGCTGTCAGTAACAATCTAAGTTTCACTTTCTGTTGTGACTGAATGCTGCTGCAGCATGGAGGTGTAGTTCTCAGTCATCCTGGACATGATCATCCTGAGAGTGTTAGCTGAAAACAGCTGGACGTTTCTGGATATGTTGGAGACATTTAGCCTCTCATCCCAGAGGATTCTTCCAGACTTTGGTTGTGGTCAGAAACAAACACACTGGTTGTGCTGCAAGTCTTTTTCTTTTTTTCTCCAAAACATGTTTATGTCTAAATGAAGGTGATGATATTCTTCATAGAATTAAAATTCATGTTGAAGTTAAGATTATTTCATCAAGTAGGACCTGTGGGTAGCTGGCTCATGTAAAACATGTCATGTCTTCAAAGAATCGGAATCGGGAATCGATAGGAACCAGAATTGAAACAAGGAATTGGAGTCAAAATCGGAATCGTTCAAAATCAAAAGATGCCCAACCCTACTCCTCAGGTCCTCCCAGCTGGTCTCAAGGGTCTAGTTTGTCCTGTTTTCTGTAACATTCACTCATGATATGTTGGCTAGATGTTGTTGTTCAGCCTGCTTTTCCCTTTTCTGTTCTAGTTAGTAAAGCTGGACGAGCAAATCCTTTCAAGGTAAGATCACCTGTCTCTGTAACAGTCTCCACCATGAAGTCCTTTGGTTTCATCATTAATTGGAACATTGTTTATAATTGATTATCTAAATTATATAAACCAGTTAATTTCTGATGAATCAGAACTGAAACATTTATTCGGTAACAAATGTACTGTGTTATACCAGCCGGGGGCATTGTGGGCTTGCTCATCAGGACCAAACCTTAAGTCACTGACAGGTGATTTCCTTCACCTTTATTAGAAGTAATCCCAGTCTTTTGCCCACAGTATATTAGAAATCGTCAGACTTCAGTTCTAAAGCCTCTACAGTTTTTTTCACCAGGAAGTCCAAATCAGACTAGTTTATTTTTAAATGTGCTGCGTTCAGGTTGCTGGTTCTGGCAAAACCACGTCTTCATCTGGTCAGCCTCGAGTGACAAACATCCTGGACAACATGACATCCAGCAGGAAGTCTGCTACCCTCAGCGGGCCTGCAGGGCGACAGAATAAACCCCCCGTCCTCAAACCGCTGGCGCCCAGGGCCAAATCCAAGGTGCAACCCTCCTCAGTCATGTGCAATTCATAATTTAACTTAAGCAGAAAATCCTGTGATCATATTCATACAGGTGCCCTATCCAGGATGCTGTTGGTGCTATTGTAATCCTGGATCTTGTTTCTGCAGAATCAGTCCACTCTGTTTCAGATGACTGGTACCAAGACGACTCATCAGAAGACCCAGGAGAACCCAGAACCAGCTGCAGATCAGCAGAAACAAGCAGACGTCCCACCTCCAACCTCACCTGCAGAAAACGCTGAAAACAAGAGGTACAGTGGTTTTAAAAAGGGCAGGTTAGTGAAAGTTTTGTTTTGAAATGGAAACAAAATACTTGTATGATTTCAGGCCAAAGACGGGCTTCCAGCTGTGGCTGGAGGAGAACAGGAAGAGCATCTTGGCTGATAATCCAGACCTGGATGAGTCAGACGTCATTAAGGAAGCGATGGGACAATTCAGGACGCTGACCGCAGATGAGCGACTGGTATGAAACCCGCAGGTTTATTCTGCACTAAACAGAAAAACATTCTGTTGTCCAAATCTGATCTCCAGCTGATTATTTTAGCCCATTTCAAGTTAGGAGGCTTACAGGTGTTTGTCTATATAAGGAACTGGGGAGTAGAGCTTGTGACAGTGTGAGCGTTTATCTGACGGAACTGAATTTATCTGATAAATTCAGTTCCGTTCAGATAAATTCAGTTCAGTTCAGATAAAGTCCAAAAGAAAAATGTACGTCCATAATACACTCGGCAAAAAAACAAACTAAGATTGTCGTTGTAGATTCAGTATACAGCAGCTGCAGCAACCACTGCGTCGATCAGCTGTTTACTCACGGTACCGCTGAGGACCCGACAGGCCGCTGCTACGGCGTTTCACCAGAACACAACAGCGTCCTGTCACAATCATCTCAACATCAGTGGACACGTGTGCAATCGCGGATTTAATCAGAAACCCCAACCCATCATGTGAGGTTTCATTGTTGAATTAGGCTATTTATGTGTCAGCCGTTAAAGTACTGCGCTGGAATTGGTTTGAGCGTAGCAGAGGGGAAGCCCTTCACCTGTTGGACCAAGTGAGATGTCACACATCAGGCTAATAGTTTAACGCTAATACCAGGATGCTAACAGAAATTACGATGAAAACATCTTCAGCGATATGTTTTGACGTAAGACTTGTTTGTTTGGTTCTATTCGGTGATATGAGGCTTCCAATAGTGAGTTGGTCATTATTTGTTTTGACTCAAGTATGTGTACAGTTATGATTTTATTATGTTGTGCCCGCAGTACACAAAACACCAACAGGTTAATTGTCAACAAAAAGGCACGGAAAGGAACGTGAAAATAAAGTTAGGGTTCCAAACACAACTACAGCTACCATTAAATGAATCCTGACAAGTCGCTCTTACTGTCATGTTTTGTAGTTGGTAGAAAACAGGAAGGCAGTAACTTTGTCCCTATCTACTTTATTACAGCAGAGGGGACGAGCACACGCAGCATTCCTCTTCTAACCTTGCGCTGCAAGATGAATTCTCGCGAGATTTGGAGTTTTCCAAACTCGGGAGAATCCATCTTGTACCGCTCCTCATGAAACCGACCAACATCCGGCCTAAAATAGACCGGACCAATCGTGTGTCAGTACTGTGCTGTAGGGTGGGACTTAGTTTTCACAATAGTATCAAGTGCAGAACAAACATGGCCGCACTGGTTGATACTAACAGCAAACAATAGTCACGACGATATTACGGGTCCATGGCCAATAATGGTCGCGGCCGGGTGTCTAAAGTTTATTAAAACATATGTAACAGATGTATTTGTACATGTCTACAGCTACACGTATAATTAATTATATAATTTTGACGACTAGTTACGTACAGTTTAACATGTAGCATGTTGTGAATCAGCTGTAAGTGTGCGTCAGCTAGGTGACTTCATGTACACGTCAGAGATGGCTCAACTGGTAAGGTAAGGACTTACATGCTGGGGACCTGAGTTCAAATCCAGCCAGGGACATATGAGTCTTCTATTCAGATGGCATACGGAAATGTTTTCTATTCCAGAGATTTTATTACAGTAATGATATATTTTATTTTACAGTAATTAAGAAGCCCAAATTTTAATTATTAAACGTCCAAATGAGACGATGTCACGGCCAGAAAAGACGTCTGTTGGGACGTGGGGGGTTGCTGTGCTCTGCTACCGCTTCGCTGCCGTGCGTCGTCCGCGTCAGCGGAGAACGTAGAGCCGGGGAGGGGCGGTCCGGACCACGCTTGGCCTGGCGGTTGACCAACAAAGCTTGGCGACTGCCAGGCTTGTACAGCACCGGGGGAAACTCTGCCCTTTGCGCATAATCTTTTCGCAAAACCGGCAGAAATCAAATACATATTTTTTTTACAGTTTTGACTTATTTATTAACACAGTTGTTATTTTGCTGCTGATTGTTCAAATATTTAAATTTCTAATACATTTAATTGTAATTTGTTATTTTTACAGTGAAAACACTACATGGTATAGATGGAGACCTGCCGTCCATCTTTATTCTTCATTGGTCTCCACAATCCCACCTGTACCTCCTGGTTCTATGTGAACCAGAACAAACTGGTGCCACACAGACTGATCACTGGGACCAGTTTGGTCAAATTTGATGTTAAGAGGTGCTGAGAAGCTTCTGTTCCAAAGCAAAATCTCTTATCTTTTCTGAGGTTTTTAGCATTTTGGAATTTATTTTCATGCTTTGGTCGGTGTATTTTCTCAGCTGATGACAGGTATCCACTTGAGTACAAAATCAAGAAGATGATGAAAAAGACGCTTAAAAGCCAAATATAGTATGATCTTCACACCTAACTGCTCCAATCTGGTGGTGTTTGTGTGTTTGCTTGAGTGAATATGCTCGCAGTTAATGACAGAGCTTCATAATGAGGCGCGCCTTGTGTGCGTGCTTCTGGTCCACTCAACAGGCTCGATGATTCATCCCAGCTCTATTACGTCCAGGAAAACGCTTCCTTTTGTCTCAGCTTGAAGAGAAAGAGGAGGGAAAAAAATAAAAGCACAAGGCCAAAGAGATGCAGCCTGTCAATAGTGATTATGCATGACAGGATGCAATTTCCAACTGAACAATCGAGTGTCCATGTGTGTTAGTCATCGCCATGTAGGTGTTTGCAGCCCAAAGCCTGGCGGTTGTGTTCCGATGGCTAATGAATGTGTGCGTTTCATGTCTTTATTTCTGTTTCAGTCGTGGACAGAAAGAGCAAAAGGACAAACCGGCGAAGTGGCAGAGATGAAGAAAAGGAAGAGAACAGAAGGAGGTGTGGAGAATGAAGGGACAGAAGATGATGAAAACAACGCAAAGAAGAAAAACCTGGACGCCGCCTCAAAGCTTTCTGCATTTGCATTCAGCAAAGACTAAATACTTGTTCAGGTTGGTGTTTAGGGGTTCTCAGGAGAACCTGGTTTAATGATGAATCGGGGACGGACTTCAAGCTTCTGCTGCTTCTGGTTCTTCTCTTATTAAATGTCTTTTCTGTATTGTAACCATTTAATAAATGTTTATGTTCAGATTTAATCTGTGAACATTATTTCTGCTGGTGTAGAAAGTTCAAGTAGATTCTGAAAGAGAATTATTTCCCAATATAATTATTTTACACACGTTTTACGTTTCTAGGTTTAAATTATTTAGGCTCAATAGTCAAGGATGTCATTTTGATTTAAGGTGGGGTTAGGGTTGCCGTGTCTCCTGTGCGCTAATCCTGCAGCGCCGACGTTTGTAATCTGACGACGGCCTGCAAAAAGCTCCAGAGTGGTTTATGAGGGGTTGCAGTAACTAAATATTACCACAGGATGTCATTTTTTAATTCATTTCTACATAATGCATCTTTAACAGTAGAACAGAGCCCTCCCCACACACACACACCACCACCCAAGAAAGAAAAATACGTTTAAAAAGTAATGTTCGGGTGACCAGTCTTTTTTTAGTAACTTATTTGGACTACAAAATCCAACATTTGTATTTTTTTATTCTTTAAGTAACGCATGAGATTTATTTCCCTTTACTGTTTTAACTCCACTCTTACAAATTAAATGTTGGATTTAATTAACCAAACGGTGTCACCTGGTTCCAGTAAGCCTGCTTAAACGGAAAGAGTATCAAGGTCACATTTATTTAAATAGCAACTTTAACAACGGCAGAGCTGACCAAAGTGCTTCCCAAATAGTTGCTGGTTAAAAACCAACAGAATAAAACTAAAATAAAAGAGCATCAAAGCAATAAAATGACTCAAACAAAATGGTAAAAAGATGAACAAGGATGTGAAAAACACTCAGCCAATTAATTGCATTAGAATGAAATAAAATGTAGGTTTCACTGAATGCCAAGTCACATAATCATCGCTGATTAAAATATATCTAACATACAACTAGGTTTAGTGGAGACATAACTTAAAGTAAATTCAACATTTCATTTGATCAACTTTACTCTGGCTAAATAAACATTTGAATAAAATATAATAAAATGAGAATGCAGGAATCTGGCCACCTGAGGTAGTGGGTCTCTAACAGGGGTCCTGGACCCCCAGGGGTTCTCGTAAACACACTTTAAGTTACTGTAATTTGTAAAGTGGGCTTATATTTCAAGTAATGAAAAAGAGAAACCAGCTGAAATTAGAAGTAAGAACAGTTTTCACAAGTGTGGCTTTCTGGAGAAAGATGATGGAAGAATAAAATGAGTTGTGTCTCTATGTGTAGCAAATGAAACCAGCCAGGTTGTGGCATCTCCCCCTCACAAACAGATTTGTTCCAGCAAAAGGGTGATGATCACACTCCCCAGATAAAAACCTAGTGAAACTGGCCACAACATGGGAAAAATATTTTACCTCCTGGCAAGTTTGAGAACCCCTGAAAAAAAGGATAATAAATATTCTAATGGATTATAAAACAGAATATCAGAAATGTCAGATTAATGAAAAGTCTGATGTGAACTAAGAAAAGATGTATATAATCACCGAAAGAGTAATAAATAGCCTGTGTAAAAACAATCAGTGTGTTAATTTATGAATGAGTCAAAGGGATTAGCCCCCGCCCCCTGATCCATCTCAGCCAATTAGAGCGCTCCTTGGATTATCCGCTCTTATAAAGTGTGCGGATGCTGCTGAGATTGCGCTTTAAACGCAGGTAAAGAAGACCAAAGTCGAGTCAGCCAAACAAACAAGCCGCTAAAACTGGACCAACTAGAGAAGCAGGAAGTGATGGAGCACTCCAAACAGACTAAGTACACTTCAGCCGAGAGGAAAGACACCGGGGACGGCGGCTCCGTCATCAACGGACACTTCGACGGGGTGGTGAAGCGGCAAGTGGGGGGCACCGGGCGGAACGCCGCCGCACCGGCAGCGGAGCCCGGCTCGCACCGCACCGCCGCCTCGGTGATGGAGAGCTGGAAGGAGGAGCGCACCAGGAGCGTGGAGGACAACGAGATGAGCCTGCCGTCCCTGGCCGCAGCCTACACCACCATCCTGCGGGGGCTCGGGGAAGACCCGCAGCGGCAGGGGCTCCTGAAGACCCCATGGAGAGCCGCGACCGCCATGCAGTTCTTCACCAAGGGCTACCAGGAGAAAATTATCGGTGAGTTTTTAAATCCACAAACCCGCTCAGAGGTGATTTGTTCCGGAGGCACTCAACAGGTGGTCCAGCTGACAGGGGAGGAAAGTTTCAGCAGAACACCCCCTGGATCTGCGGGCCAGGGAGGTTATTAGACACAAGGTTGTGTTTAATTAATGATCTACTGCTCAGCAAGCTGATCATGCTGGTTCTGATCAGAATTTTGTTATGACTGTTTTGGCTGTTTTACTTCCCAGAAGCACCATGTCAGGTTTCAGGCTCTTCTGTAAACCTCGTGCCATGCAAACCAGTTTCAGCAGCAGGTCAAGTGACATTTTAAAGAGGAAAGACCTAAATGTGCAAAGAGTTTATTTTTTGTTTGTTTTTGCGGCAAAAGTTGATTTTTCGTTTGCAAAATCAGAGCATCAAACATGCAAAAAATCTTACAGCTTGTTGCCTATTAAATATCATCATGTTGGAGGCAATGTCACATGTTAACTGTGTGTTTATTTACAGATTTTTTTTTGCTGTTTCACAAATGCATCATGAGAGCACCAAATTATTGTTATCAACTGTTTCTCATAAACAAACCATAAATGATCTTGATCAGAATTAGTCAATATTTAATACAATTTCTGTTTTCTTTATAGTAAATGCACCATGAGATCTGATATTATCGTCACAGATAGAGCTCATTTATTCACTGATAAAGGCCATTTAGAACTACGATTATAATTTACAAATTAATCAGAAATAATAACAATGTAAAATATATTCAGTAAAATTATATTTTTTTAGATAAATCATCATAAGCAAATAAAAGCTGTGGGTTAGAAATTTGGATTCCTCAAAAATTAAATATTTTAACGAAAGGTTTTTACAAAAATCAGATGATTTTGCAAATATGGTTCCTTTACCTATTTGCTGCATATTTATAACACAAAATAATTAAATTGAAGTAGTTTCTGACATTATTTTAATAACATTCCATCTTACTGTTTATCTGGATTTGCTTGATTCAGACCTTATTTTCCTTCATAGAAGTTGCTTTGTCTGAAATTACAGAAACATAATAATTTAATTACTATTATTTGTAATTATTATGGTATGACTCGACGTCATAGTGGGCTTTAGGCCATGATTGGTGCAGACTCAGGTCAAGAGTGAAATGCATGACAGAAACGGTTCGACCCATTTGGGTCTCTGTGAGAATCTGCTGTGTCATGTTGCCGTTCTGGTAGAACTATAGCTCCCAAGTTGTCTGGTCCATGGGCTGGTTCCTCCACCCTACGACGATTTGGAGTGGCTGGATTCAGGGATCTGCCCCTCCAGGGCTCCATCTGGATGTATTTTGCTGTTGTGAGGGTTGTTGTGTGTTATGAAGCTGTAAAGAAAGGAATGCAGTGGGGCCCTTATTTTATCCTGATTTTCACATTTGATTGTTTTACGTGGAGCTCCTCCTGGCTCTGGGCAGGAGATGGCAATGGTGATGATGGTGTGTGTGTGTGTGTGTGTGTGTGTGTGTGTGTGTGTGTGTGTGTGTGTGTGTGTGTGTGTGTGTGTGTGTGTGGTCATTCAGGCGGTGGTGTTAAACCACCTTTCTGCTGATAGGCTGTTACAAGAGCCTCCCCTTTGACTGGTTCAAAGCAAGCAAAAACATATGGAGGTTGAGTATTTTGTTGGCATTAGTAAAGTCTCCTTTAGTTTGGTTAATATGGGTTATTTTTCTTCATTTGCTCGTGCAGGTCACAGGCCCAGCTTCCATCACTGAGCCTCAAATCCTCTTGTTGTGGACCGCATGACCTGCAGAACCTTACGAGGGGGGGGGGGGGGGGGGGGGGGGGAGATGGGTTACACTGAGATGTGTAACGTTATAAGAACCCCGAGTGTTATTTGTGATTAATTATCTGGACAAAAGTTAATGATGTCTAAAGGTGTCAAGCTCCCTATAACTTGTTCTGTTTCTTTATTGGTTGTATCTGAGTGGAAATGGAGGTCCTGGGTGGATTTCTGTCAGGGTGCACTGTGGAATGCTGTGAAACAGATTAGATATTCAAAATCTGACCCTACAAGCTTTAAGGATTTTCTCTGCAGATCATTTGCTCAACATTCACAGAATTCTTGGATTTATCCAGACTGAAGAGTAAATAGATTGAAAAAGGTGTGTTTTAATTGGTTTAAGTGTAGAGAGTATATACTTTATCGATTGAAATTAATTTGCTACAGCAGCACATAAACACAAAAATACAATAAGCTATTATTGTAACCTTCAATCATTAAAAACAAAGAATAAAAAGGAAACTTGGGTTCCAGAACTTTGCAGCATAAAGGACACAGACACACTCATTTTTGTTAGCATTAGAATTGAACACATACAGTGGGGCAAAAATGTATTTAGTCAGCCACCGACTGTGCAAGTTCTCCCACTTAAAATGATGACAGAGGTCAGTAATTTACATCATAGGTACACTTCAACTGTGAGAGACAGAATGTGAAAAAACATCCATGAATTCACATGGCAGGATTTTTAAAGAATTTATTTGTAAATCAGGGTGGAAAATAAGTATTTGGTCAATAACAAAAATTCAACTCAATACTTTGTAACATAACCTTTGTTGGCAATAACAGAGGTCAAACGATTACTATAGGTCTTTACCAGGTTTGCACATATAGTAGCTGGTATTTTGGCCCATTCCTCCATGCAGATCTTCTCGAGAGCAGTGATGTTTTGGGGCTGTCGCTGAGCAACACAGACTTTCAACTCCCTCCACAGATTTTCTATGGGGTTGAGGTCTGGAGACTGGCTAGGCCACTCCAGGACTTTCAAATGCTTCTTACGGAGCCACTCCTTTGATACCCGGGCGGTGTGTTTGGGATCATTGTCGTGTTGGAAGACCCAGCCACGTTTCATCTTCAAAGCTCTCACTGATGGAAGGAGGTTTTGGCTCAGAATCTCACGATACATGGCCCCATTCATTCTGTCCTTAACACGGATCAGTCGTCCTGTCCCCTTAGCAGAAAAACAGCCCCAAAGCATGATGTTCCCACCCCCATGCTTCACAGTAGGTATGGTGTTCTTGGGATGCAACTCAGTATTCTTCTTCCCCCAAACACGAAGAGTTGAGTTTATACCAAAAAGTTATACTTTGGTTTCATCTGACCACATGACATTCTCCCAATCCTCTGCTGTATCATCCATGTGCTCTCTTGCAGACTTCAGACGGGCCTGGACATGCACTGGCTTCAGCAGCGGAACACGTCTGGCACTGCAGGATTTGATTCCCTGCCATTGTAGTGTGTTACTGATGGTGACCTTTGTTACTGTGGTCCCAGCTCTCTGCAGGTCATTCACCAGGTCCCCCCGTGTGGTTCTGGGATTCTTGCTCACCGTTCTCATGATCATTTTGACCCCACGGGATGAGATCTTGCGTGGAGCCCCAGATCGAGGAAGATTATCAGTGGTCTTGTATGTCTTCCATTTTCTGATAATTGCTCCCACAGTTGATTTTTTCACACCAAGCTGCTTGCCTATTGTAGATTCACTCTTCCCAGTCTGGTGCAGGTCTACAATTCTTTTCCTGGTGTCCTTCGAAAGCTCTTTGGTCTTGGCCATAGTGGAGTTTGGAGTCTGACTGTCTGAGGCTGTGGACAGGTGTCTTTTATACAGATAATGAGTTCAAACAGGTGCCACTAATACAGGTAACGAGTGGAGGACAGAAAAGCTTCTTAAAGAAGACGTTACAGGTCTGAGAGAGCCAGAAATTTTCCTTGTTTGAAGTGACCAAATACTTATTTTCCACCCTGATTTACAAATAAATTCTTTAAAAATCCTGCCTTGTGAATTCATGGATTTTTTTTTCACATTCTGTCTCTCACAGTTGAAGTGTACCTATGATGTAAATTACTGACCTCTGTCATCATTTCAAGTGGGAGAACTTGCACAATCGATGGCTGACTAAATACTTTTTTGCCCCACTGTATGAATATTGCATTGATGATATTGTGTACAAAATTATGTTAAAAATCAAAATTGAAAAAATAGAAAACTTAAACAAACAATAATCAGCCTAATGAGTTTATTGGGTTTACCTTGTCACTAAAGTGTTCCTGCACACAGACTAAATGTGTTTTGTTCCTTGGCCGGCTGCAAGAGCCGGTGTGCTTGTGCAAACATTTCAACACCAGGTGAGACCACAAGTACTCATCACCCAGAGTCACCCAGGTGACTTCCTGCTAGTTCAGACTGACTGCATGTTGGGAGTCGTCGTTCTGCAAAATGAAATTAACGAGACCAGACTGACCCTGATTCTGTTACAGGAAATGAGTTGGTTAAAGTGCACAAGACTTTGAATCAGTTCCAAAAGTGTTTGTTCACTTCCTGATTTCCTGCTCTGATCAGAGCTTTACGTCGTTTGCGTTACCCGTCTGACACTCAGCTGCAGTCAGGTGATGAGTAACGCCGTCATTACCTGAAAACCTGCTCCTCTTTGTCACATCTGGGCTGGCCCTCACCCTCACCTCCTTCCTTTATTGAATTACCATTGACTCAGTGTTCTTTCCCCTCATGGTCAGTCAGTGTGTGCAGCTCCTGCTGGAGAAGCCACTTATGTTCTTATTCGACATATTTTCATGATGTTTCTGACATCGTGTTGTGAATTAGCTATGAATGCAGGAGACATGATGGTTGTCTGGTTTTCAGGTGAATTTATTATATAAAATTCTTTCAGGAACAAAGTTAAATGAAACATTGACAATAGCTGATGCTGAAAACGTCGTCATGATTAAGGTTCAGCCAAGCTTTCATAATTAGAAATGCAGAAATACCAGAAATAGGTTAATGTTCCTAACGTGTGTCCCATCCAGATTCCACGATTCCTGTTTAAAGTGGAACTAAAGCCACATGTGTGTTTTCTGTTTGTGTGACCTCATCCTTTTTCGGTTCCCTCTACCCTCTGACAGATAGCCAGCCAGGAAATTAAAAAGAGCCGCCATGATAGCGAACGTCGTCTGTGTCGTCACAAACAGATACAACGGTTTATTGAACCCCGCCGACAGAAAAAAAATGCAATAAAGCAACAGCAGGAAGGTAAAAAGGGAGCTGTAATTAGACGGCGGTGTTTGTCAGACAGAAACAGGAGTTCATCATAAGCAGGAGCTGAATGTCAGTGATGCAGGACTGGTTCCTGTAACAAACATGATTATGAAGAAAAAACACAAAAGTACATTTAACAATGAATGACAAAGATGGAGGATCAGCATTCAAAATCATGGTTTTTATGTTTCACCTTCTCCGTCCTCTCCTCCACAGACGTGTTGAACGACGCCATCTTTGATGAAGACCACGATGAGATGGTGATCGTCAAAGACATCGACATGTTCTCGATGTGTGAGCACCACCTGGTGCCCATCTTTGGCAGGGTGAGACATACAAAAACGTAGCAGCAAAAGAGCAGACGTGGACTGGACCAGTGGGTTCTGGTAGCAGTCTCTCCAGAAATCACACTTCTGAAGGTCATAATCATTTTGTTGATGAGGGTCGTGATCTTGTTGGTATTTTTGCCATTAGCAAAAGAAATCAATAAATATTGACAATGGCCTATTAGAAGGAAACCAGCTCTGCAGACTTCCTGTTTGTGTTTTAGTTTTTTCCTGACATAAACTTTCTTATCCAGCTATGAATTCATTAAACTTTACAAGAACACAAAACCAAACAAATGCCCCCTACTGGCTGGTTCCTGTATAAGCATTAAGCTCCTCCCCTTCAACTGTTAGCACTTCCTGGATTACCATCAGAGGAAAAAAGGAGGTACCTGTTTTAAACTATTTGCCACATTTTTCTGCATTTTTAAACACATTTAACATGAATTAAACCACAATAAGTTTTTTTACAGCTGATTTCAGAAAGATATTAACATTTTTCCCCTGGTTTGCCACTTGATTCATGCTTTATGGTTTACTTTTGATTGACTTAAACACATCATAATTTAAAACCACGGAACAATAAATGAAATATAAAACGACGTACAGGTGCAGTATGTATGAACATAGTGAGAATTTTAAAGTGAGACAACCCCCAAAGAGTCTAATGTTTCAGTGATTTTGGATGGAAGGTCATACTGAAGCATGTTTTATACTCGAACATATTGTCAGTTTTTCTCCTTTCAAAACAAAGGAAGGAGGAATGTAACTACCTTTTACCATTAGTGAGTGGTGAGTGAGTTACTGCTGCGCCGACAATTGTAAAAAGCTCCAGAGTTGTTTAAGTGGTTGCAGTAACCAAATTTTACCAAAGGATTTCACTTTTACTTCATTTCTACATAATGCACCTTTAATCCTAAATGCAGAAGTGACTGTTCTCTAAATTAAACACCAACACAAAGTGTTCTGTGGGTCTTTTCCCTTCAAACATGAGCTGATAATGAGAGAACATAAGATTTTTTATGAAGTATAGTATCCTCTCATTTTGGATGTTTCTGTAGGGATGTGTTAGTGTTTAGAAGGAAACCTGTCTTTGCACAGTCATTTGGACCCCTCATGACATCAGAGCTGTGTGTCATCATCTGATGCAGAGACGTGGATGATGGGAAAAAAGCTCAGACTGCTTGGGTGCGTGAATTCAATAAGCTGACAAGGGCTTCATAAACGAATGCCTCACTTCCCTGCAGCTGGGCAGCCATGTAGTTTTCTTTTTCATATTTAGGACTCAGAATCTCATCAGAAACATCTGAGCAGAGTTTACGAACCAATTGCTGGTGTTTGTGTGGAGGCCATTGTTCTGAGCAGCAGAGGAGCAATCAGATTAGCTGGGATCTGTTTATCTTCAGCCTCCTCTCTGCTGCTCCCTCATTACTCCTCCTCTCTGTTCCTTCTCTTTCCATCCCTCCGTCTTCACCTGCAGGTGTGTGTCTTTTAAAACAAAAGGAGGCAGCAGCTGATGTTTTTCCATCAGTTTAAATGGGTTCTGATGACAGTGAATCACACAAACACTTACTCCCCTCAGCAGATGGGGTCCAGGTAGCCGCCGCCTGTTCTGGTGTCAGCTGTGGAAGAGAGATCTTTATTACAGGTCTTATCACTTGTTCCCTGGATATTTTTAGATGAAAAAAAGAGAATTAGAATAATAGATCTGCAGTGAAATTCTCATTCTTCCTCCTGCTTTTTGTTATCCTGAGATGCAGATTTCTCTGACGAGTTCCTCACTGCTGTGAAGAGTTAACGTTGGCCTTTAAACTTCACATCTCACCACAAGCTACAGTAGATTAAAACCATCAGAAAGAGAACATCTTAATCTGTGATTACTGGTTTTGGTGGCGTCTTCTGAATGCCTAAACTCATCTCCTCAAAGCAACCTGTCCTAAGAATGATAAAAATAAAAACAGCCTCTCCAACCAGTCCTGAGCTAATTGAGTCTGAATAAAGACGCGTCTCCATCACACCTTCCGGGGTGTGTTTGGGTAAACATGAGTGGAGCAGCAGCCTGTTTCATGTGTGTGTTATCAGGCCACTGCAGCAGAGACGGAACACAAGAAAAAAGTGAATAAAACGAGATCTTTGCACGCTCGTCGCTGCTGCCCTTTCTCTTCTCCAGACTACAAATGGGGCCTGACATTTGAGTAGAGCTCGCTTGTGTTGGTGTGCAGGAGAATTAGAGCCTCCAGCCATCCACAGCCGTGGAGCTCCTGCTGCTGACTCCTCCTGCTTGCTCAGATCTTCATCTCCTGCTACTGTCGCTCACTCAGCCTCATGGTCATGTTGATGCTAATATGTGACTCTTGGTGATCATGGACGTAGTTTTTTTGGGGGGGCGGGGGATTTCCCACCAACTTTTTCCAAGTTACATTTTTGTCCCCTGCACTTTTTACCATCCAAAACAAAATTACACTATATTAAATAGACACTGGTTGAGCACTACAGTGGTGTGGTCAGATCTTTTAAAATGGGGTGGCCCAGGTAGTGCACCTCTTTGTGCATGGGTGGCACCAATGGTTATGCTTTTTCTTTTTGACCCCAAGCTTTTTGTGAAAAAGTCTCTTTAAAGGAAATTCAGTGGGGTGGCCAATCAGGTTCCAAGGGTGGCATGTGCTACCCCAGGCCACCCCCTGAACACGCCCCTGGAGCACTAGGACCAAGCGTAAAACAACCGCTTGTGTTGACCCATTACATATTACATATATTTTGTGTACTTACTGTAAAGACACCCTCCCCCCGGTCCTCACTGCCGGTTGTGTCTCCCCTATTTCTAAAGTCAAAGCTACGTTCATGTTGGTGATTATCTGAGATTTACAGAAACCGGTAACCTGTGTAGGTGTGTGCTGAACCTCCGGCCTCATCAGTTCACTAGTCTAATGTTTCACATGCATGTGAGGAAACACTGAAGTATTACAGCAACTACTTAGACACAAAATTGTAAGAAAACATGTTTACTTGTCACTGAATTTGGGCTAAAATGGTTTGAAAAAACTTCAAATAGATGATGACATCCAATCAGAGTTTGTAGGGGTTTTGCAACGATTTAATCACAAACCCTCCTAAACATGTTCTAATTAGTTTGAAGTTTTATTTATTTTATTTGCAATTTTGTCTTAAATCAGTTGCAAGTTAGATTGGCATTGCTTAGTCAGCTTCAGTGGCGGCTGGTGAATTATATATTTGGTTAGGTGCATTTTTGCCATCTGTTTTCAGATGGGCTAAGTACATATGACCCCTGGGGGGCACCACATTCATGCACCAACAAATGCAAACTGCTCACATACTTAACATGAAGAGGCTCCTCTAAACGACAGAATCCACATTTTCTACCTCAGCAACACCCAATGACAATAAGCTGCTAAATAAAAAGGCTGAAAAAAGCCAAATGCAAATATCGAGAAAAACACAATAGCAACAATGAAATATGATTCTATCCACAGGAGCAGCCATTTAAATTAAAGCCCAGACTCTCCTCTTTACAACAATTATAAGTACCATCACTCTACCAGCAAAGTTCACGGGGCAACGTAGCGGCAAAACAAAGCTAGTTTCATGAAGTCAAAGGTGTAAATTCAGTCTTCCCTTTGCTGGTTTATGGTCATAATAATTCGTGTTATGGTAAAAAAATAAAATAAATAAAAAATCCACTGAGTTTGTGTAATCCAATGTCCCAACATCACACTGAGCTGATTCCTGACTGATTTGGGCTTTTTTACCTGCAGGTGAGTGTTTGCAAGTTTCCGATGCCACATTCCATCATTTTCTTGTTCTCCATAATAAAAAAGCTCCACGAGGTGTGCTCAGCTGCTCTAAAAGGAACAAAGAACGGTGAACTAAAAAAATGAAAAAGAATTTTAAATAAAAGAATGCTGAACTGTGGAGAGCTTCTGGTTCTGGGTGAACATCCTGAGCTGAGCTGAGATTCAACCCAGTTTCGGTTGCAAACCTCTGCGGCCCAATCCCAGTACTTATACTGCGCCCTACGGTCTTCAGCTAAGAGCATTTGAGGAAGTGTGCAGTGAGGCTTCAAGTGTGTGGTACACAATTGTGCAGCTATTTGCCGTAATGGGACAGGGAGCGTTGCGTCATCGACCGCATCGCATGCTGGCCGCTGTTTGTGCTACTTTATAAAAAAGTCTTAATTAACAACTTTCAAACAAATAATTTCTTGACAAAATTTACATTCATTGCTGATCATAATAAATATTAGTCTAAAACATTCAGAGCATGAATAAATATCATTAATCATCTTAAAATGAACTTTTGTTTGAAATTGCATATTTTCAGAAAAGGTACTGGAGCCATTTTTCCACCTTCCGAAAGTACTCACACAGCAATGGATTGTGAGTAATACCCGTCGCCCAAGTCAGCTTCGATGTGGGCTTGGGCACAGCGCGGATCAATGGTGCAAAAGGGGCGTGGTCAATTTCCACACTTGAGGATTGGGACACCCTATGCACTCGCACCCTTAGAATGGATCGTGCAGTTGAAGGGCGAAAGGGTGGAAGTGCAAGTATTGGGATTGGGCCTGCGACCAAAGGCTCTCCTATTCCTTGTATTGGAGGGGGATCCAGCACGCATGCGCCAGTTATATCGTAGGTTTAATGGTTGCTGCGCTCGAAAAGGAACAGGAAATACGTCACAAGATGATTCGTTCATGGTAAAAGTGTGAGAGAAAATCTTTAAACCACATTTAAAAACAGATTATACACAGCACTTATGATCTGTATGATGAATAGAGCGTTCAGTTTAATGTTCATGTTTTTTAACTTTTGTGATTCCTTCTTCTCCTTTTTGTGAGACCGGTGGGGCGACGCCCTAGCGCCACCTATGAACGAACCGCCACTGATCAGCTACTGTTTACACTTCATTGCAGCAGTAGCTCAGGAGGTAGAGCGGGTTGTCCAGTAATCAGGTCGCAGGTTTGATCCCAGCTCTGACCAGAGAATTCTGCTGTTAGAATCCTACTCTAACCGTTATTTACGTTTTACACACTTTGTGACTAACATCTTTGCATGAGTCTAACGCTATTGGCTAATGCTGATGCTGGCATGGCGCTATGGGACGGGGGATGGGCTTGGGAAAAAAATATTTATGATGTCACAGTACAGCGTAAGATTATGGTTTTTACGGAATTCTTAAAAATCATTCCTTGAAGGGGGAAACTCCAGATTGTGAAATCTGCTGCTGGTGCATGTGCCAGATGTTAGAAAAACAAAACCAACTTCCTGACTGTAAAATGTAGCCATGACACCAACTGTTTCTCTGTTCAGGTTCATATCGGTTACCTTCCTAATAAGAGAGTTCTGGGCCTCAGCAAACTGGCCAGGTGAGTCAATTTGATTTCACATGAACAAGTCTTAGTGAGTGTGTGTGTTTAAGCTGATTATTAAAACGAGTGTGTACCAGTGTAGAATCTGATCCCACTGACCCCAATACCCCCAGGCTTATGGTACTAACCTGGAACTACACACACACACACACACACACACACACACACACACACACACACACACACACACACACACAGAGGGTGGTGACTCGGTAAACTCGGAACATGTTGTTCTTTTTAGTCAGGAGCACATATCTGGACATATCTCACCCCTCATCCACAAGGTGTCTGTCCTAATCATGACCTGGGGGTTAGGGTCAGGGTTTTAGAGTTAGGATTATAGATTTTGACTCATTTTGCTCCTCACCCTTTCCGTCTGTCCTAATGAAGACAAGTTGGGCCCAGATGTGTAGTTTTGTTGGTCCAGTGGGTTAAGAGAGTGAATGTAGCTTTTATCTCTCTCCATGTTCCTCAGTCAGTCCATAAAACAATACGTGTTGTCTTCTGCATCTCATTCATCAATCCTAGGGTTAAGAGCTGGTTTCTGTCTCCAGTGGCTCTTGGGTGGGAGGTGAGGGACACCCTGGACAGGCCTTAAGTCAATCACAGGGACATACAGAGACAAACTTTCTTTCACTCCCACCTGGGGACCATTTAAAGTCTCCACTCAACCTGAAATGCATGTTTGGTCTGTGAGAGGAAACCAGTAGAAAACCCTCACATCCATGGGAAAACATGGATTTGTGTTTGCAGGTGGGATTTGTACCAGCAGCCTTCTTGCTGGTAGGCAACAGTGCTACCAATGCCCCAGCATGCATCCCTGTTCCTGCTGAATCTTCTGTTCCAGCAGAAATAAATGGCTGGTAATGATAATATGGAACTAATGTACAGCTCATAGAGGGATCCCTTCAGAGCTATTTAAAGTCTGAGGCCGCGTCCCTTTTTCCTGATGACTGGTTCCTGCGTGTTGAGTCCAGACTGTCGTCATGACGCTCGTTTGGTTTTGTGACATTTACTTTGAGGTGAGGGAGGTCATGTTGATCCAAAGTGCTCTCGCTCAGGGAGAAGAGCAGCAGGTTGAAGGGTAAGATCAGGTCGTTTCTTCACTTCCACAGGAAGTACAGGAAGTCAGAATGACTGACTGTGGTCAGCTGAGGTTTGTGGTGTGGATTTATCCTTTTCTTAAGAATGACCCAGAGTCCGTCATGGCGGACGTAAACTTACATTTAAAAGAAGGTAAAGGTCAGTCTTCTTCATTAAGCTGGACAGTTTGTCCCACTTTAAACGTTTTACTACTTTGTAGTTTAAAATGCTTCAATCAGATCTGGTGTCATCAAGTGAAACTAAAGTTTTGAAATGTGGTTTTTGTCATGATTGCGGGTGAGGAGATGATGGACCATGTGTGGAGAGGCAGCTCAGGAGGTAAAGATGCAGGCTCGGATGAAGTAAAAATGGTTTTAATGATAGAGCGGGAACGGCAGGACAAACACAACACAGACAACTAACACAAACAACAGTGATCTGACAAAGACTGGCACAAGGAGGGAGGTATAAATACACAGGGAAATCAGGAACACATGGGACAGGTGAGAACAATAAGGGCTAATCAGGGCAGGAGAGAGACACAGTCAGGAAGGCAGGGGCAGAACGTGACAGTTTTGTGATCATGGATAACTTTGTGAATAATCTCCATTTGGAGATTAGTTCTGTCAGATTGATGAGGTAACAGCTAGTCTGAGGCCAGTTTCTGCTGTCCTAAAAACAATTTGTGCAGTTTTATAAACAACATTAATCTCTCATTTTAGATTTATTGTCCAAAAGATTGTTAGTATTAGCTAACCTTAGCTGCAGAGCTAGTTACTGAATAACCATAGCCCTTTTTAGAAGGCACACCATGCCGGTAAATCAGTGTATTACTGCCCGTCTTATAAACGTGGCATGGCGTTACGGGAATTTTGCAGCATTCGTGCAGACAACCTTGGTAGTAATATTGCCACAACGCTGGACTTGTGAACGCATATTATATCACGCATCCCTCCTGCTGTAGAGTGAAACTGCTCTGGCATGTAATGGTTTTCTGTCTGCTTCTGCCAGGACAGGACAGGTTCCAAAAGAAAACCTTTGTTTATATATTTTCGGAGGATAAAGCCTCTTGAGATGAAGCATCTCGTTTCCAAGAGGGTCCTCCGTCCATACGACACAAAAATTGAAAGACAACAAGACAGCAAGCAGCTGAAAAAAAAATCAAACACCAAAAAAGAAAAGAACAAACTAAGGGAAAATTAATATTACAATTACCTGAAAATATGCAAAAAAAATAATAATAATAATAACTTGTGCCTTCAAGATAGCCAAAAATTACTTGGAAGCCAGTACAAAAGGGTAAGGCGTGTAAATAAGCAGCGTTCCTAAATAAATGAAAAGAAGTGATTGATTTCAAATCAGCAGGTAGATTATCCCAGTCCAGTGGGGCTTTAACACTAAAAACAAGTCTTCCCACTTCCTTCTTTAACCTGGGTACAAAAAAAGAAATGCGTTCATTAAATCTAGTATTATACGGACAACTAGAACGCACCAAATACTTTTTAAAATATGCCGCAAAGTCAAAGAATACACATTCAAAAATAAACAATATCCAGTGATATCTATGTCTGGCTTTTTATGAAAGCCAGGACATTCAAGGGGTCTTTAGGACTTCTTGGAAATAAATGTTTTAAGTTTTTTCATTGTTAAAGAAAGTAAATCAGTGAAGGAAGTTCATCAGTAAAAAAACAGAAACAAAAACTAGAATCTGCTTTTTAGGTGTGTATTTGCATTAGAGGTTGAGAAAGCCAAAAATAAATAAATTATTTGCTTTCCTTTTCCATCAGTTCCTGTTGAATTCAGGGTTAACTGAAAGTCTCAGAGTCAAACACTCTTTTTCTTATTTTTCTCCTTCAGGATCGTAGAAATCTACAGCCGGCGACTACAAGGTAGCAGAAATCCTGTTAGAGAAGCTGTTCCTTCAGCCGTGTCCCTGATCTGTTTGCTTCGACTGTTTGTGTTTCCCTGTCCATCCGTCCGTCTGTCTCTCCTGTCTGTCCACAGTTCAGGAGAGGTTGACCAAACAGATCGCCGTGGCAATCACTGAGGCCCTGCAGCCAACCGGGGTCGGCGTTGTCATCGAGGCGACGTACGTATTGACCCAGCTTCACCTATGACATCATCTTTCTGTTCCTTCAGTTTAAATTATTTCTCTAAAATTCTGTTAATTTTTTTATTGATAATTTGAGAAAAAAATCTCAGGACATTAATAATGAAGCAGAAACACGATGCTGCAGTTGGGACACTTCAATCATAAAATCTAATGTTTCTTTGAACATCTTCAAACTAACTTGGGGTAATGAGTAATTTAAGATTTTAAATTTCCATTCTTTTTCTTTTTTAAGTCCAAACTCTTTGTTGAAGAATGTTGTGTTTCTTTAAAGCTGGCTACAGAGAGAAAATTACTCAAAATTGTCTTCAAATTTTGCTGTTTGTCACTTTTAAGAAAAAAAAACAAGAATGTATTTGGCAGAAAAACTCATTTTTAGTCATTCAGAGTATACATTCTCCTCACAGTGAACATTCCTGTTTCCACTCCAGTCTGATCTACTGTATCAATTCTATAATGTTTTTGATCAGGTATGAATTTGTCATTTTAAGCTCCTCCTTCTCCTGCAGCCACATGTGCATGGTGATGCGAGGCGTCCAGAAGATGAACAGTAAAACCGTCACCAGCACCATGCTGGGAGTCTTCAGAGAAGATCCAAAAACCCGCGATGAGTTTCTCACCCTCATCAGGAGCTGAGAAGGATGAAGCTTCTCCTCTTCCTCCTGCTGCCTGGGGTTACCTCCACCTGCATGGACCAGCTGCCATGCTACGTGTGTGTGTGTGTGTGTGTGTGTGTTTCCATCTCATTGAAGGCAGTGAAAGGGTGTTACTGTTATTTTTCAGTCTGTGACGATCCGATGAGGCGACGCTTTACCTGACCAGTTCCAGAGTGAGGTCAGTGGCGGACATGTTTACCGTCAGATGGTGAAACAGACTTTACCCTCTTTTAGTGTGCATGAGTGTAGATGTTACTGAAACATGTGTCATTGTCCTTAAAAAACAGGAGTTTCTACTCTAAACCACAACAGAATCAAACATTTTATGACACTAAACCGTCTAAATCCCGTTATTATGCAGTAGAACTAAAATCATATTTAATAATTAGGTATTAAGCAAGAGGATTTTAAAGGTTTACAGCTTCTCACTGCCAGAAATGTTCAAGAATAGGACAACACCATCAAACATTCATGTCCCCAGAAACTTTGTCCCGTCATATTTCATCACATTTTTAACGCTTTGTTAATTTTAGCAGATATTTTATTTTGTTTGCAGCCAGATTAAACAAAGTTTTCCAAACCAATTTAAACCATAAACCAAATTAACTGGAGAATAAAAAAAATAAAGCACTTTATTTTCTTAAAAGTGAATCTCACACTTTAAAGATATAATGCAGAAAGACTTTCATGAACTTGTTTGCTGGCAGTCGTCTGTCATCAAACTCAATCATCAAAATTGATAAACTGCTGATTGTTGCAGCATTTAAAAAAATAACCAAGAACAAGAAAATTTAATATGTTGGTGGTGGTCACCAGCCTCGCTGCTGTCAGTACGCCCCAGGACAGCTGTGGCTACATTGTAGCTCACCACCACCAAGGAGTGAAAGTGTAAAAGAATGATTGTATCTAAACACGTTTGTCAGGCGGTAGTGATTACGTCCCGTTCCATCACTGATTCTACACTCACCCTTTCTTCTTACTGGGCAACGCTCAGTCACTGATGCCCTTTCGTCTCTACCCGAGGTCCTTGTATCGCACATCCTCAGCGTGCCGCACGAACCCTAGCTGCTGTTCAGGCGCGCTGCCAGCCGATGGTCCTGGCTCCCATCCTGTTGGCTAGTCGCTTGCAGTTTGTAGCGTAACAGGCCTGCCTGGGATCACCCAGCGTTCTGAGTCCATGTTTGGGTTTGCTGACACGCTACAGCCTTTCTGTTTGGTCACATGATTCCTCCTCTCAGCATCTTGGTCATTTTATTCACCAGGAACTCTGTTAGTCAATAGTAAAGCAGCTAGCCGACATGCTAGCACTGGAGTCCACTTCCAGCATGTTTCCTGCATGCTTTTGATCATGAACACAGCTGATTTGTTTGATTTAGTGATGAATCACTCCTGTAGACACTAGTGAAGACTGGGAAAACATTTCAATTAGATTAAGGTGTTAAAAACGCAAACGCACAGCAAGGAGGAGAGTTTCAGTTTTAAAACAGTGAATTAAAACTAGGGGGTGCTAAAAGCAAGCCAAAACTGCAGAGTGTTGCTTTAATAGCAGCATCATAAGCTATCCTTTATTTTTTATTAGCATTCCTTTTAAGTTAAGTTTAATGAAATTCTTTAGATTAAAAGTTGTGAAGGAAGGCATCGAAATGCATCATAATAAGGGCTGCATGGTGGTGCAGTGGTTAGCACTGTTGCCTCGCAGCACGAAGGTTGCAGGTTCGAAACTCGGCTGTTGCCTTTCTGAGTGGGGTTGCGTGTTCTCCCCATGCATGCGTGGGTTTCCTCCGGGTACTCCGGTTTCCCCCACAGATCACAACATGCCCTATAGGTTATAAATTGTAAGTAGCTTTGGATGGTAAATGGTAAATGGTCTGTATTTGATATAGCGCCTTCTAGAGTCCTGGAACCCCCCAAGGCGCTTTACAACACAATCAGTCATTCACCCATTCACACACTGGTGGGGATGAGCTACGATGTAGCCACAGCTGCCCTGGGGCGCACTGACAGAGGCCACCGGTCACCAGTCCCTCCGACCACCACCAGCAGGCAACTTGGGTTAAGTGTCTTGCCCAAGGACACAACGACAGCGACAGACTGAGTGGGGCTCGAACCTGCAACCTTCCAATTACGGGGCGAGCACTTAACTCCTGTGCCACCGTCGCTGTCGCGTCTGCTAAATAAATAAACACAAACCCCTTCCAATGTTTTCCTGGAACTGCCTTCCTGTGCCAACCTGCCTCTGGGTTCAAATCAAAACACTTTATTTACATGAGGTGTTGAAAGACCCTGTGTGTGTGTGTGTGTGTGTGTGTTTCCTGCAAATGGACATTGTGAATGCAGGTGTGTGTTGTTCTGTGACATTGTGGTGACTTATAGAAAACATCATTTAGTGTTTCAGTGTCTGCGGTCAGGTTTCTGTGTACCACAGTGGCTGAAGTTGTGTGTGTGTGTTGGAGGGAAGACGAGTGCTAACAGCGCTGTTGTTCCTGTGGCCTTGTTGAGAAAGGTGTCCTGATCTTACCATCAGTGTCACTTTATGTACTGTGTTCATTTTGAAGACTTTTTAATCAAAGACAATAAACCTTTATGTGACAGAGTGTCTATCTGCAGAAACCCTGACTGATGAATGCTGCTGTTAGGAAGTTCTCATGTTTACATGTTCAGAATTAAAGGTTTGAGTCTTCTTGTAGATCTTGAGTAGAATTTTAACTTTTTGACAACAAATGTAATACAAGCTGTTTCTGCTGCCCCTTGTGGCCAAAAAGACACAAACCAGCTCTTATAGTTTCAGATCAGTCGTGCAGATTTCAAATCTGCTGGGTTCGTGTACGGGATCTAAAGGAATCATCACGGAGAAGACACTTGTGGAAAACATGTGGCTGATTCTGTCCCAAGGCTCCATTTTTGCACCAACTTTGTATCATTCAATCAAGCAGTTTCAACACTTAAAGCAACGCATATTCTGATCCCCGCTTCAGGTCTGCAGGTACATGTTGATACAGAAAAACAAGAACAGACACAACAGCTGTTTTTGTTTGTTTTTATGTAAATCGGGGGGGCATGCCAACTCACAGCATTCTGGTACATCACAATAAATGTACAAAACACGTTAAAGACCCTTACATATTCTTGCTGTCACATCTTTCATTGTGCGGACCAGAATAGTTCAGGACTTTATATCAGAATTATAAAGTACCAGCCAGCGTGGGCGTCTGGGTTCATGTTCATTCTGCACACCCAGTGCTGCTAAGCACCGTCGGGCTGTGTCAGGTTTACGTCCGTTATACTGGGACTAACTTTATGATTGAATAAACCAATATTTAGTAGGTCATTTTTAAAAATTCAGCTTGGAAACTTCTTGAATTAAAAAAAATAACAAAGATGATACATTAAATCAACATTGGTTCTGATAAAACCAACAAAAATCCAACATAAAGATGAATAAAACCAGGTCTGCATTCCTAGAAACGTAATAAAAAGGGATAAATTCTAGGAAAGGAGGGTGTGCGGCGTGAACGTGACCCGACTCAGCCGTTGCTGGTTTCATTTGCAACATTACAAGTTTCTAAAAGTCCATATAAAACCATTTTTACATTTGGGGTTGACGTCTCAAGTATAAAAAAGGCACTGCCATTTGTTATTCTAAATAGGACTATCCCAGTCTTGTGCATGCAGTCTTAAAATATAAATTACACTTTTTTTTCTTTTTTTCCTATTCCCTTTTTTCTATTTTTCTATTTTAGTGTTTTTTTTAATAAACATACATTTTTTTCAAATATATAAGTAAGCCTGCAGTCAATACAGGACATCGGCTCTTTGATAAAATAAATCTAAATGAAGTAAAAGGAGCACAGTCAGGCGGTAACTTTGTTGTTCCAAAAACAAAACAAAGAGCAGGATAATAAAAGTCTCCATCCCAAACCCACCAAACTGCAAAGAAAAAGAAAAACAGCATACATGTCTCCACAAATGCTTTTGGAATATCAAAGCGTAATTTAAATGTTAATACTGCCACTGGTCTGGATTTGGCTCGCAGACGATCCTGAACTCGGAGGCGTTTTGTCCTCCGAACACAAACCCTGTAACTTTATTATCACAGTCTGTAAACCCCGTCAGTCAGTGCTAACATCAAACCTGCTCAAAGGGAGAATTTGTGTTCACGTCCAATAAAATAAACCACTTTGAGTTTTTAAAACTTGATACTATTATCTGAACATAAACAAATCCTCTGAAGAGTCAAATGAACACTGACTGAGTAAAAGCACATCTGACTAGCACTGATCCATGTCCTGTTAATGCTGACCTTTAGCCCCTCCCATCCTGCACCAGTGCTTGGTGACATCAGCAAGTCCAGACACGGGGCTTCGCTCAAAGCATCAAATCTCAACATGACACTGAAACACACAAACTTGATAGCTCAGCAACAATTAAACAAAACACGAAAGAAAACACTCAGTCAACAATAACAACGTTAATAATTGAGATGTATGTATGGTTACCAGCCATAACACGTTAATACATACGGTATTTTAAATAATAAAACACCTAAAGGATCAGCATGACCTCTGCACAAAAGAAAAGAATAAATAACTGTTTCTATGTTTAAGTTCTGATTAATATGGAAGTGACACTGAAAGAACAAGGTGAGATCCTGAAGAAAGACAACCGGGATTAATATAATCTCACACTCGTGCTTTGGTGGAATTCAGATGAACTGACAGATTGGATTTTATACACTCAAAAAATCATATAAAGAGTTCAGCTGTAAAATCTTCCACTCCTATTTTGTAGTGTGTGTGTGTGTGTGTGTGTGCGCAAAAATCCAGACTGGAGTTTAAAACCACCATCACTGGATCTGAACATTTATCCTATGGATCCTATAGCAGAGTTACATGCATGTTTTAGTGTCTTTAACTCCCAAACATGTCTGTTTTACTGACAGAGAGCCTGTGGATTTCAAAATAAAGCTCATAAACGTTACAGCTTGGGTCGCTCGGAGTTGTAGAGGGCAATCATCAAAACATAAAAATGCTTAGAAAAATGCAGACAAATCTCATGATGCTCTTTTAGCTCTCAGAGACGAGCAACAATTTATATGGAGAGAGAGAAAGAGAGAGCGAGAGAGTGAGAGAGAAGCTGGAGGAAACACGACTGCTCCAAGTCACCCTGACTTTCAACCGGATCTGTAAGTGGGCGGGGTGTAACCATTGTGAAGCAGAAGACTCAGCTAATAGCCACTGTTATCTGGTGGATCCAGGGTTTTCATTAGTGTGGGGCCATCCAGGGGCCACAATATTTCTAGAGAGGCCAAATATTAGCCCTGCATCCTTTCATGTTGGAAATTCCTACTTGGCTCATTAGTGCCAAAAGTCTCCAGAGGCTCCAGCCGTCTCCTGAGGGTCCTGTCGAGCTCCGGCCGTATCCTGCGGGAGCATTTCTAAGCATTTCAGATCAGGTCAGAAATAAAAATCAACCACAGGAGCAGTATGAAGCACCTGAAATTTTTCTAAACAAAAGGCACTATTGTATAATGTGGTCACTGAATCACAAGGAAAACGTGGTTCTTACGTTATGCAGCTGGTGAAGAACCGGGGTCAGAAAGCTCAGCCTCAGTCACAGGTTCTCCAAGTCATAATAATGACCCCAAATGTCCAGCTAAAAGCTCTCAAGTATGGCTGACAATCATTGGACCACTCCTAAATGGCCTTTAATGAGTCCAGATATGAATCCTGTTGAGCATCAGTGGAGATGCTACCCTTCAAACCCGAGATGGCTGGAGTGGTTTGCTCAGGAAAAGACAATCAGACTACCTCCTCATCAGAACTATCTGCTTTTGTAGGCCTTATTTTAATTTGACTAACTAAATAAATCAATAATAAAAAGCTAAGTGTGATTTGTGCTAAATATGAAACAAACACTGAAGGATAACATCTGTCCTTAAGCCATGATGAACTAAAACATGCATGAACCCTGATACGGCCCTTCACCTGTCAGTCTCCATTCAGCTTTGGCTAAAACCACTGCAAGAGGGACATCTGGTTTCAGTTTAACCAGAGACGTGTGGTGCGGTTGGTCTCTACGGTCAGATTTGTGGTTCTACCACATAGTTGCCATCCTCTCCAAAGACCAGCCCGTCTGGATCATGCAGAGCTGATCATTCAGATTTTAGTGTATCACATTAGTGCAGCATACAAAGGAAATACTGCTAAATGAAAACTTATTCACAAAGAAGCTAAAGAACATGACCCCAACAACACCAGTTCATGGTCAGGACGCAGGTGTGCCTGAAAGCAGCACACAGGAACCTCACCAGCTCACTTTCACAAAACGCATCTTCGTTCTAGACACAACAAGGGATAAATAATAACCAAAAGATTAAAAAATAAACAAAGAAATATATTCTATGAAGAATTCTGCCCACAAACAGTCAAAAGACTGACACACCAGACATCTTTGCTCTCGTTTTCCCAGACCAGTTTTCTCCCCACATGGGATTTTTGTTTGTTTTCGTCAGTAATTTACAAAAATCTGCCGGTCTTTAGTTCCTGTCCTGCACTGACTGCTTTTGGCCAGCAGGGGGAGGTAAGCACTAACAAGACAATCTCTGGGATAACTACCCTTCATGGTGTGTGTGTGTGTGTGTGTGTGTGTGTGTGTGTGTGTGTGTGTGTGTGTGTGTGTGTGTGTTTGTGTGTGTGTGTGTGTGTGTGTTTGTGTGTGTTTGTGTGTGTTTGTTCGGTCTTCATGACACCGAGTGGAACACACACATCCTGTTTGATCTCACATCACCTCCTCACTGTGTTTCACTACCGTCCTTCCCTCTAAAGCAGGGCTATTCATTTCCGGGCCTCAAGGGGCCAGTGTCCAGCACATTTTGGTTTTAACCCTGCTTCAGCACACCTGATTTCAATTAGTAGGTGATTAACAGGCTTCTGCAGAGCCCGATGAGCTGCTGCACAGGTGAATCTAGTTTGTTGGACCAGAGAAACCATTAAACATGCTGGATAGCGGCCCTCGAGGCCCTGCTCTAAACCAACCCAGATCCCACCAACTCGTCTCTTATTCATAGACTCTGGAGTCAGAATCGTACAGCGAGCGTAGTGGATGGCCACAGCTCCTACACTCACATGAGTGGACTGAACATGATCAGACATGACATCATTTTCAGAGGTCCTGCCTCTGACGTTTTTCTCATGAAAACATCCGCTTCCCTTCTCAGCATCGCTTCAGCTCCATTCCTTCCTCAACTTTCTGTGTTTATCTCCACATCACCTACCCCCTGCCTCCTCTGCACGCATCTGTTCAACTTCCTCCTGTCATCCACATCCAGCTACTTGTCTCTTTCCTGTCAGCTGCTAAAATAAAGAATAAGCACATCAGCTGTAAACTGGTGTGATGTCTATTTGGGGGACATGAAGCTTGCACGCAGGCCTACCTGACGTGATTACACGTTTCCGTACCCTCTGGTAGTAGCATCCTCATGTAAACAATAAATATCAAGAAATGTTTTGTTGTTATTCGGATCACCCAAATACTGAGCACAACACGGCCGACCGCTACTAACATCACAGCTGGAGCTGAAACCAGCCCAGGAAATCCCAAACTGAGATGAGTCCGTTCATGTGAATGACGCCATGATGATGATGTCAGAAGGGGCCGCTGTCTCAGACCTGGTCCAAAGGCTGGCATCTTCCTTCTAATGAACAGCCTCGACTGTGGAGAAGCGCCGGGCCTTCCCGAGGAGTGGGGGTGCTGCTCACCCCGTCCATCATTGTACTGTTGCATTTTCTTCCTCCACTGTCAGACGCAGACGGCTGATCATCCTGGTGGAGCAGGAAATGTGTTTCTCCAACCTGACGGCATGTTTCTAGGATCCCACACGGCCCTTTGGTCGAGTTCTAGCATCGGCTACTGAGATGGGGAGGCGGTGACCTTCAGGTGGCTTATCATGAGAGAGCCCCTCAAACCTGCGGCGCCCTGCTGCTCTCACTCGGGTTCCAGTTTCATATAGTGGATGTGCGGTCTGCTCCATCTGGGGAGAGGAGAAGACAGAACCTGATGTGGATTCACATAGACGCTCAGTGTAAACAGGGCAGATGTCAAACCAGAGACTCTGATGAAGAAATAACAGAAAGAAGGAAGCAGTGAGGCCTCAAGTAATGAAACAAACTTCCTGTCAATCACCCAGTGCATGCTGGGACAGGCTCCAGCTATGCTGTGACAATGGGCATCAGTTCAGCCCTTTTCGGCTCTCCAACCTGTGTGATCAGTTTGCTCTTTCTGTATAAAAACTTCAATGAGCTAAAGGCAGCATGTTGCTGCACGCACCGCCTCAGGAAAAATAGGGATTCACTACTTCTGAAGGACGATCAGGGACCAGTTTCTTCCACTGGTTTCAAAACACGCACACTGTGGTGGAAAATCAGGATAATATATTTAAAAAAATGTTACCTGTAGAGCACTTTTCATGATAAAATCAGCACAAAGTGCTTTACGTATGTATATGAATACTGCTGCCACGGTGTCTTTTGAATGATGAAAATATTGCATAATTCGTGCCACCAAGCTTGATGGTAAAATTCCCAATAAGCCAGACTGATGCATGCATGAAGGTGATGTCATGATGACGTGTCGAATATGCACCAAACCTCAGCTGGAAACGATATTTGCAAGGCAAGTAAACACGGGGCGTCCACTTCGCCGTTTTATTACCTATGTAAATACAACTAAAGGTGCATACTACTTCAAATCAAATGAAGTCCATTTGGTTTTATTTTCTTTTGCTCTTGTATGCTGGGCTGGGTCAGTCCACGCTGTCGCAGCTGCAATTAGAGCAGAACGCTGCTGCCAGGTTCTTCTGTGGCATCCAAAAATGGAATAGCATAACCCCGGTGGTGATGAAACCACATTCTTCTCTTAGGCCATGTGTACACATAGCCGGATGTCCTCCTCCACCCATCTAGGAACAAAACTACTCCCTCATTTTTAGCTAAAAATCCAGATTTGAACATTTCCACTTTGGTCGGAGTTTTGGAAGAATCGATTTTGGTGTCGCTTATCTTCACTCTTGTGTAGATGACTGGCCAAACCGTAGAATAATATCTTTGCTCCGTGTGTGTGTGTGTGTGTAGAGGGGGTGGTGGGGGGTGGAACCACACTGGCGTGGTGAGAACAACACATCTGTGAAAATACTGATAGAGAAAAACATCAGACCAACAGCTGGAGCCTCTGATGTGGACGAGGAGGAAAATCTTATCAAGCTCCAGTTCACAAAAACTAAAATATAACCTCGGTCATAATATTGGAGACAACTTTTGTTGATGTATAAAAACTACCCATAGCTGGGCTGAAGTGCATAAATTGGTTCACAGAAGTTCTCCATCGCAGATCAGAGTGGAGTGGTTATGGAGTTTCATTGAGGCATTTTGGTCGATGAATCATTAGACACACCTGGTAAGAGCCTGGGTATTCATCAAGCCTCAGGTGTAGCACCAAATGGCTTCATGGATTTTTACTCATTAATAGAAAACGATCCCAAACGCAGCAGCAAATCTACAACAGAATGAGTAAAAAAAAGAAAAAGATCCTTTCTAAAACTAAACTCCAGCTTATGATGAGACTCCGGGCGAGCAGAGCATAACAGAGTCTGCAAATTAGAGGCTGGCCGATATTTAAATTTTTTCTATATTGGCCGAAATTATTTTTAAAAGCTGATAAAACATAAATAAATAAATTAAAAAAATCAGGTACCTGTGTGGTCAACTGCCGCTACTACTAGACTGAAGGACCCGAAGGACCCCAACACACCCGTTTTTTTCAGTGTTTTGAGTTTGTTTTATATTTGAAATTCAATAAATATTTAGAGATTTCTTGAGTTATTTCATTTATATTGCACATCGGCTTTAGATATCGGTCATCGGCAACAAAATTCTTTAAAAATCGGTATCGGCATTGGCCTTAAAAAACCCACATCGGTCGGCCTCTACTGCAAATGTTGTGAATGAACTGGAGTTTCAACATTAACCATGCAGGAAAATCTCCATCAGTGTCCTGCAGCTACAGGTGGTTCTACAAGCTGCTGGACAATGGGACAAATGGATTTGTTTATGTTTGATCAGTAATGACATAGTGGAACGTGTTCACCTGAAGTTAGTTTCACAAATTAGAATTATGATTACGATTATATAAATCTGTAGAGGAGAAAGAAGGTGGAGTTTCTTTTTCCAATGTTTTAGCTCATTTCCCTTAGGTTCAGCTAACCCAGTCATCGTGTTTGTTCTGGTGAATGTTTGTGGGAAATCAGGAGATGGAAAAACGACTCGTTTGTGTCTGACTAACTGACCAACATCGTACATGAAGCACAGGAACAAACCAGTCTTCATGCCTCACTCAGCTGCTGCAAAGATTCTTTATTCACATCAGCATTTTAACGCCACTCATCCCGTTTGTGACAAAAAAAGCACCTAAAGCCCATTTATTGACCCATCTTTAAACTACCTTTCATCCTTCTGCTCCTAACATATGTGACCAGACAAAACAAAGCAGCTAAAAATAGACCAAAATCCTCCAGAATCCCAGCTGTTATAAAGGTCAGCAGGTATGTTTTTAACATTGTATTAAAACAAAATCAGGAAGAAAAAAGGGTGTGCTGTTTAGATCTATAGGTGTGACACAATCGTCCCAGTAAAGGAGGAAGTGATAAACGTGAAGGAATGTGATGATAAAACCTGATGTTATACCTGACCCACCCAACAGGCTGTTTGATCACAGGAAGTAAGATGCAGGCGTGGCACCATGTTTGTTGTATGTTTATGTATTTAGGACGAAGAACGTACCTCCTAAGGCGTGTTCAGTCATGCTCAAACACAGAGACTCCAGGCGATTGTTTATGTCCGGCTCTGTTACGGGTACCTGATGATCTAAGGACAGAAGAAGAAAAAAATCAACAAAGTATTCACGTTCCTTAAAAAGATCAATTAAAAGTACAGTTTTATTAAATTAAATGAAAATTTGCACATTTGAGTAACAGCTTTATAGCTGTCCTAGCATGAGTTTTTTTTTTACTGTTTTCTTTACTATTCTTTGAGCCTCTATAAAACATAAAACTTTGTTGGGGCTCACAATGGCCCAGGAGCCCTGTTGACTGGGCAACTACATCCCCATATTAAAGCCCTACATAAAAAGATCGGTTTTCCCCGCCTACTCAGTCAGGGCATGAATATTAAATGAGCTGCATGCTGATTGGCTGGTCTACTTGAATGGTTTTATGACCAATGCTGGGTATTGTGTGTGTGTGTGTGTGTGTGTGTGTGTGTGTGTGTGTGTGTGTGTGTGTGTGTGTGTGTGTGTGTGTGTGTGTGTATACACATGAATTCACATGGCAGGAGTTTTAAAGAATTTATTTGTAAACCAGGGTGGAAAATAAGTATTTGGTCACTTCAAACAAGGAAAATTTCTGGCTCTCACAGACCTGTAATGTCTTCTTTAAGAAGCTGTTCTGTCCTCCACTCGTTACCTGTATTAGTGGCACCTGTTTGAACTCATTATCTGTATAAAAGACACCTGTCCACAGCCTCAAACAGTCAGACTCCAAACTCCACTATGGCCAAGACCAAAGAGCTTTCGAAGGACACCAGGAAAAGAATTGTAGACCTGCACCAGACTGGGAAGAGTGAATCTACAATAGGCAAGCAGCTTGGTGTGAAAAAATCAACTGTGGGAGCAATTATCAGAAAATGGAAGATATACAAGACCACTGATAATCTCCCTCGATCTGGGGCTCCATGCAAGATCTCATCCCGTGGGGTCAAAATTATCATGAGAACAGTGAGCAAGAATCCCAGAACCACACGGGGGGACCTGGTGAATGACCTGCAGAGAGCTGGGACCACAGTAACAAAGGTCACCATCAGTAACACACTACAACGGCAGGGAGTCAAATCCTGCAGTGCCAGACGTGTTCCGCTGCTGAAGCCAGTGCATGTCCAGGCCCGTCTGAAGTTTGCCAGAGAGCACATGGATGATACAGCAGAGGATTGGGAGAATGTCATGTGGTCAGATGAAACCAAAGTAGAACTTTTTGGTATAAACTCAACTCTTCGTGTTTGGAGGAAGAAGAATACTGAGTTGCATCCCAAGAACACCATACCTACTGTGAAGCATGGGGGTGGGAACATCATGCCTTGGGGCTGTTTTTCTGCTAAGGGGACAGGACGACTGATCCGTGTTAAGGACAGAATGAATGGGGCCATGTATCGTGAGATTCTGAGCCCAAACCTCCTTCCATCAGTGAGAGCTTTGAAGATGAAACGTGGCTGGGTCTTCCAACACGACAATGATCCCAAACACACCGCCCGGGCAACAAAGGAGTGGCTCCGTAAGAAGCATTTGAAAGCCCTGGAGTGGCCTAGCCAGTCTCCAGACCTCAACCCCATAGAAAATCTGTGGAGGGAGTTGAAAGTCCGTGTTGCTCAGCGACAGCCCCAAAACATCACTGCTCTCGAGAAGATCTGCATGGAGGAATGGGCCAAAATACCAGCTACTGTGTGTGCAAACCTGGTAAAGACCTATAGTAATCGTTTGACCTCTGTTATTGCCAACAAAGGTTATGTTACAAAGTATTGAGTTAAATTTTTGTTATTGACCAAATACTTATTTTCCACCCTGATTTACAAATAAATTCTTTAAAAATCCTGCCATGTGAATTCATGGATTTTTTTTTCACATTCTGTCTCTCACAGTTGAAGTGTACCTATGATGTAAATTACTGACCTCTGTCATCATTTTAAGTGGGAGAACTTGCACAATCGGTGGCTGACTAAATACTTTTTTGCCCCACTGTATATATGTATATATGTAAAGTTAAAAGTTTAACTGAACTGGAATATTAAAAAACAGTGAGGGATAAATAATGACTCATTTATTAAAACTGAACAAGGAGTTTAGACATGATCAGTAACACTGAACTTCTCAACATGAATCCGTCACTTATGTCTTCTTTGGCCTCGACAGACAGCCAGCAGGATGGAGACTGGTGGAGAGCTGAGTTTGGGCAGGGTAAATGTGTGTGTGAAGCTAGCGTGTGTATTTAAACCTCGGAAAATCCTAGCAACCTCTCTGAGCCATTTAGTCCCCAACTGAACACAAGCTGAGCAACAAAAATCCCTTGTGGTCAGATGCACACGCTGAGTTAGGTCTACTAGTTCACACTGAGCTATTTATAGGCTCCAAACCCACAGTCACCCCTCTGCCAACACACACACACACACACACACACACACACACACACACACACACACACACACACACACACACACACACACACTCTTGTCCTTTCATTCTCTAATTTTCTCTACAGCGTCTGAGTTAATAAGGCCCTTCATCCATGCGCTAGCAAAGAGAGGGGAATATTACAAATATAAACCCAGAGACAGGGTGGGGGTGGGGGTGTAGGAGGAAAGGAACGGACGATGTCTAGTCTTTCAAATCTACTCTGGCAAAGACCCAGCTCCAGCCAGCCATCCGGGAGACAGTTATGTGTGCATGACTCTGCAGTTATCACCGAAATGGGGATGAGGGGGAAGAAATGGGAGAAATAGAGGATGGGGGATGCAAAAGAAACACTGAGAAAAAAAAAATGAGCCAGGAAGAGCGTGAAGGGAAGGAAAGCAGGGCAAAGAGCCCCATCCTCGCTGCACAAAGGGACTCATTGTGAGACCCCTCAGTCCTTCCTCACTCCCTGCCTCCAACTCTTCCTCTCTCAAACAACGTCTCCACTCTCCCTCCGGCTTACTTCCCTACTTTCGGCTGCTTTAATAAAAATAAATTGTTGTGTACTCACTATTCTGAAAAATATGACATTTCTTGGCAAAGCAGTGGCAGACCCAGTTTGTTTTATTCCCCAGATCACGAGGGGCCATAGGTTACTGTAGGTCACTGAAGGGTTTCACTCCTGTGACCCTGCAGTCGTGTGAAACTCAAATGAGGGCAGCAAGTGTTTGCTCCACTACAAAACACGCAATGGATGAAAGCGAGTATACTAAGTTTAGCACAGACGGGATATCGCAAACAAATACATCTTCCTTTAAGTTATTTTCACACGCTCTGGAAGATTTACTCCACTACATAAACTAAGCCTTTTACAAGCCAGGAAGCCTACAACTACTTAATTTCAGGTTGGGTTAATCATTTAGGATCCAGAGAGGCTTTAAATGACGATCGTCTTGTTTTTGCTCAGGTAAGTAGCAGGGGTTGTATGAACTAGTCGACCTCACTGCTCTGTAGTGACTTTTTATGCTGGTCATCAACTAGTCGCTGTCACGTGATAATGACAGGCAAGATGCAGTCCTCGGAAAAGACAGCAGGTGACGAGCTCCTGCGTGTCGGGAGGCGACGCGCTGTGCCAGAGTGTCGGTACTGACACCCGCCGTAAAACGGACATTTGACCAAATTGTGACCTTTACCCTCTTGCAATTTAACCTTCCCCTCACCCCCATCCTAACCTTAACCAGCTTGCTCATGCAAAGCTCTGATTGTTGACGCGCTCCAGACATCTGCGTCCTGAGCACGGCCACAGTAGCGTTATCAAATCAGGTGTTGTCACCTCAAAAAACTAATTTAACACGCGATCGTTCATGTCGGCTCATATCCTTTTATGTTTTCTGTCTTTTATTTGTGCCTGATGCTTTTCGCTGCTGTGGAGCGGGGCGCATCACCTTGTCCTCCGGTGACGCACCTCACCGGTGCGGTCGGCGTGCAGCGCGCACCCCGCTGTTTTTGCAGTGAGTAGATCTTTTAGAACTGTAGTTCAAAGGTAACTATATGAAGGCAGGTAGCAGTTTTTCTTTAGGATTGAGAGGAGATGCAGGAAGATAATAAACAGACAGGACAGAAAAATAGTCAAATAAAAACAAGTTAGTTTTTGTACCTGCTGGTTGCAACAAACAGACACCACTGAAGGTAATCAGAAGTGAGGAACAGAAAATGAAATAATTATTTTAATGTTTAGAGCAGCAGGAACTCCGAGAGGCTGCAGGCGCATCAGTGAGTTTGCGGCCACTGCTCAGGAGGAGGGGGGAGAGGGCTGAAGCAGAAACTACTGTTGTTAAAAGAAATGTGTTTAACTTTGAAAATGTGGGCGCAATTTTAATTGTCAAAAAAAACAACAACAGCGAACCAACGACCCCCCCTCTCCCCGCATATGACGTCATCAATGACTAGTCAAAGTCGACTCGATTTTCATTACTTGACAGTCGACTTTAAAAAAATTAAGTCATGCAGCCCCTAGTAAGTAGTTAGTTGTGCCATTTTAATTCATTAGCTTATAATAATGATGCTATAGATAACAACGAGCCTGTTATGTACTAGGATCTAATTGATAAGTAGTAAATAACTTATATAGCCTTTTTGAATCTACATTTATGGTACATTTGTTTGATTTTAATAAGGTATAAATGCCACGATGCACTAAGCTAACTGCTAAAAACATTAGCCCTCTGATTTGCAGTAAGTTAGTACATGTGAAAACAGTATTAAACCAGGGCTGCCAACTTTCACGCACTGAGCGTGAGACACACGCATTTGACCCTCTTCACACGCTTTCGCACCACACCTCCAATCTCTCACGCTAAACCAGCGCCTGCGCTCCCCAAACGTGCATCACGCACAATGTGTAGGGCAGGGGTCCTCAATTATAATGGTCCGAGGGCCACTCACAAAAAAGAACCAGAAGCAAGAGTGCCTGCCTGCCTGCCTCTCCCTCTCCCCCTCTCTCTCTCTCTCTCTCATTCACGGCCACAAATCCAACAGAATGATAAATAACAAATCTAACAGAATGATAAATTACCCACACACTTGTATGGCGCCTCTCAGAGTAGGGACTCCAAAGCGCTTTACACTACAGTGTATCATTCATCCATTCACACACTCATTCACACACTGATGGTGATGAGCTACGATGTAGCCACAGCTGCCCTGGGGCGCACTGACAGAGGCGAGGCTGCCGAGCACAGGCGCCACCGGCCCCTCCGACCACCACCAGCAGGCAAGGGGGGTTAAGTGTCTTGCCCAAGGACACAACAGCAGAATTCTCTGTCCGGAGCCGGGATCGAACCTGCAACATTCCGATTACTGGACAACCGGCTCAACCTGTTGAGCTACTGCTGCCCCAAGAACCGGTCGGGCTGATTTGGTTCGGGTTCGGTCTCAGGTTACAACTCCAGCGCTCAGCCCTGCAGTACCACATAAAGGCAGACCAAAGTTTCCTACGCGGTAGATGTGGAGAACACCGCTCTGACAGATGTGGATGCTGCGCTGGTGCTGCCGTTAAAATAACAAAACCACATTCCACCATAATTGATCATGGTACTCTTCTATGATGCAGAATTGTTTATGCCCGCATCTCATGCATTGATTATTTAATTATTTTCTTCAGCTCTATCTGTCCTACACCTCCCGGTCGACCGTGGGGGTGGGGGTGGGGTTTGGGGGGCCACAAAGCGAGGGCTCGCGGGCCGCCATTTGAGGACCACTGGTGTAGGGCTTATGAAAAAAACCAGATGATATTAATTATAGCATTAGCTACTGAATAACTTGCACACAAACAACACTATAACTGGCATTATTTCACACACAGAATCCCATCTGTATAATCCAAGCTGATGTGCTTTTTTCCTCTCTGGTTGTGAGATGGGCGAAGCGGTGAGCTCCACTTGCTGTTGATGGGATGGGCCTGCCCGGTTCTTTCTCCCAGAACCGTGAGCTGCGGCTGTGCGCGCCACCAAAATGACATGCTTCATTTAGAAATGCAGCTGCGTCGCCAGCCGGTGTTGACGGAGCTTCAGTCCCAAATGTTTCTCTTTTGTTTTCACTCATCAGCCACCGATCGCTCGCTCACAGCAGGCTGGGCTTCCTACCGTGGTGACTCACTCACAAGTTGCCTCTCCTACTTAGTTGGTCACGCAGTGAATTAAAACATTAGGAATCCTAATGTTTTAATTCACCGCTTCACCAGTGTGTTTATACTGTTTTCCTTGGCAGGAAATAATAATTGGTAACATTATGAATGACATGATATTGACATGTAGCTGTAACTGTTTACTGCGGACGGACAGACAGACAGACAGCAGTGGTGGCTGGCCACTAGAGGGCGATAGGGCGCCGCCCCCCCTAGTTTTCCCCCAGTGTTTTTAATTTTTATTTAAAAAATAAATAAATAAAATTAACAATAATCACATACTCTAAGTTAATTGTGTGTTTTGTAACAAAAACAAATCATACATATCGATATCATTGGTGAAAAGCTCCCTGCCGAGCGGTGGAGGCGACAGAAAGATCGCCCAAGTGGCAGTGCAGCAGCCAGCCAATTGCTGACAAGAAATACAAACGTATAGCAACGGGAATTCATCCAATCAGCGTCGTCAAGGAAGAAAAAAAAGGAAAGACAATTCTGACTTTTTTCCCAGAATTCCCTGTCAGAACTAAAAGTCAGAATTCTGTTCCTTTAAAGAGACAGTGTGTGAAGAGATGTGAAATTGTACCAACCCCATTCACAAGTTTTAAATGCAGTAGCTGCTGTTCTGCCACAGGGGGCAGCACTAAGACGTTTTTAGACCTAGATTATACCAAGTTTACACAAACATGTCAAACAATGCACAGAAACAGAAAGATTGCATTTGTAAAGACCCAATTATACAGTTTATAAGCAAAAAAAATATCTTGGGGTTTAGTTACTCTTTAATTATAAATGAGCTTCGCCACAGGAGTTTCAGCATCCAAAATCATGAAGATAGACCATGTTGAGTCGACCATGTGAGCAATCGTTTTCAACATTATATTATTAAAACCTCAGTGTAATCTCTGGGTGACAAATTCTATACGTGGATGCTCACAGGGCGATTTTGACTCGTCCACAAACCAGTGGATGAACGTTAGGATTCACATCTGCTCTGTAGACACAACCAAAGGACTGTGTTTCAATCTTTCAGAAAGGTTCTGACTCCTCCTGAAGTCTCTGTGTCCTTTTTGATTTTAACAAAGCACCAAGTCACCTGTCAAGACTTTAAATAAAAAACTTGCCAATGGAAAAAAACACAAAATGAGCTGATCCTCTAATATTACATATTAGAGGATCAGCTATATACTGAACTAAAGCATATACCGTATTTTCCGGCGTATAAGTTGCACCAGCCATAAAATGTATAATAAAGAAGAAAAAAACATATAAGTCACACTGGACTATAAGTCGCATTTTGGGGGGAAATTTTATTATTTCTCTTACAAAATCTGAGACCAAGCATTTCACATTGCAAGGCAAGTACCAGTAACAATAACAGAAAAAACATCCAGGGTGCAGCAGCACGCCACAGTCTCCAGCAGACGATGGCGGTGTTTCAAACCCTCCCAGCAGGCGGGGAGAGCTCATACCTGGGCCGGAGCCAGCCCGCAGCAGTGCGCCACTGTCTCCAGCAGGTGATGGCAGGGCAAAGGAGCTCATTCCTGGTCCGTAGCCGACCCGCAGCAGCGCGGTATACATAATTTGGTATATAAGTCGCAGGACCAGCCAGACTATGAAAAAATGTGCGACTTATAGTCCGGAAAATACGGTATATATATATATATATATATACACTCAACAAAAATATAAATGCAACACCTTTGTTTCTGCTCCGATTTTTCATGAGATGGACTTAAAGATCTAAAATTCATTCCAGATACACAATATTACCATTTCTCTCAAACACTGTTCACAAATCAGTCTAAATGTGTGATAGTGAGCACTTCTGCTTTGCTGAGATAATCCATCCCACCTCACAGGTGTGCCACATCAAGATGCTGATCTGACATCATGAGTAGTGCACAGGTGTACCTTATACTGCCCACAATAAAAGGCCACCCTGGAATGTGCAGTTTTGTCTCACAGCAAAATGCCACAGATGCCACAAGCATTGAGGGAGCGTGCAATTGGCATGCTGACAGCAGGAATGTCAACCGCATCTGTTGCTTGTGTATTGAATGTTCATTTCTCCACCATAAGCCGTCTCCAAAGGCGTTTCAGAGAATATGGCAGTACATCCAACCAGCAGGTTCACCTCCAAGATCGTCTGAGACCAGCCACTCAGACAGCTGCTGAAACAATTGGTTTGCATAACCAAACAATTTCTGCACAAACTGTCAGAAACCGTCTCAGGGAAGCTCAACTGCATGTTCATCGCCGTAACAGACTTGAGTGGGCCAATGCTCACATTCGATGGCGTCTGGCACGTTGGAGAGGTGTTCTCTTCACGGATGAATCCCGGTTTACATTGTTCAGGGAAGATGGCAGACAGCGTGTGTGGCGTCGTGTGGGTGAGCGCTTTGCTGATGTCAATGTTGTGGATCGAGTGGCCCATAGTGGTGGTGGTGGGGTTATGGTATGGGCAGGCATCTGTTATGGACGAAGAACACAGGTGCATTTTATTGATGGCATTTTGAATGCACATAGATACCGTGATGAGATCCTGAGGCCTATTGTTGTGCCGCACATCCATGAACATCACCTCATGTTTCAGCAAGATAATGCACGGCCCCATGTTGCAAGGATCTGTACACAATTCTTGGAAGCTGAAAATGTCCCAGTTCTTGCATGGCCAGCATACTCACCTGACATGTCACCCGTTGAGCTGTTTGGGATGTGCTTGACCGTCGTATACGACAGCGTGTACCAGTTCCCACTAATATCCAACAACTTCGCACAGCCATTGAAGAGGAGTGGACCAACATTCCACAGGCCACAATTGACAATCTGATAAACTCTATGCGAAGAAGATTTGTTGCACTGCATGAGGCAAATGGTGATCACACCAGATACTGACCGGTTCTGAGTCCCCAGAACCCCAATAAAGCAAAAAACTGCACATTCCAGGGTGGCCTTTTATTGTGGGCAGTATAAGGTACACCTGTGCACTACTCATGATGTCAGATCAGCATCTTGATGTGGCACACCTGTGAGGTGGGATGGATTATCTCAGCAAAGCACAGGTGCTCACTATCACACATTTAGACTGATTTGTGAACAATGTTTGAGAGAAATGGTAATATTGTGTATCTGGAATGAATTTTAGATCTTTAAGTCCATCTCATGAAAAATCGGAGCAGAAACAAAGGTGTTGCGTTTATATTTTTGTTGAGAGTGTGTGTGTGTGTGTATATATATATATATATATATATATATATATATATATATATATATATATATATATATATATATATGTATAATCTGTTGAATTTCATGAGTTATGAGATATTCAACTAGTAGAAACTCTAAATACTGAATAAAACTGTCAACGATCTAAACCAACGTCAGCAGTAATTTCCTACCAGACTTTTGGAACGTAACCATGGTTTGCGGAGTGGTGTGGACGGGTAGGGAGCGGGTTCTCTGTACGGAGCTGTGGGTCCGACTTGGCATGCTGTTGCTTCCTCCAGGGTTGGCAAACCATGGACCCTAGGGAAATTACAACAATACAATCATGGTTAGTTTAAAACAACATTAAATAGTGACACTTTAAGCTATTATTTATCCAGAAACTAAAGCAACTTCTGACAGCTCTCTGCAGCCCTCTGCTGACCAGTTTTGTGGTTCAGGTACACTAGTGCAAAGATCTCTACCTGCTTTATGGCAGTTGCAGTTTACCCTGCATGCATTTTTAGGTTATTTTTTAACACAGGAAAGGTTTAAAAAAAACAACCTAAAAATGCATTCAGAAGAAAAACAGAATGAATAAACAAAAGAGCAGTTTACCCTGCCGGCAGCTCATAAAGGGGCTATCAGTTAGCTTTTTCAGTTTGGCGACCGCCAATGAAATGCACAAGAAGAACAAGAAGAAATAGAAATATGTTACGTTTTTTGTTGGTATCATGGCGTAGCCTGGAAGTAAACTTGAGAGAGTAATTATCTTTGGAGCTAAAACCAGAGTGAACATCGACAGCCTTCACTCGTCTGAGGAAGCTGAAGGAGGCTATGAAATCACGGACTGATGGTGACCTGGCTTTGTTGCTACTGGTCTAGTCAGTAATAATATTTTTAATCCAACAGTGTGGCTCTTTTTAATTTGTAGTGTATTAAGTATCAGCTGGCCCATGTTAGCGTTAGCACTAACTACAGCGGGCTGCAGCAGGGTTGTTTACGGCAGTTGTAATTCCATGAAGCAGGAAATTTATTACGTGCTGATTTAATGTAAAACCTTAAGTATCAAAGCAACAGACGACAACTTTTGCTACGTTTTCACCCTCCGTCTGGCCCACACCTAATGACAGCCTCAGATGCTCACCACATGCATTCCTCACTGTAACCTGCCCATTATTACCCCCGAAAACATCATCGCACAGCCCACCCCTCACTCCCCCGAAGGCCCTACAGTGCCACAGGTCAGGGAAAAACAGGAAATTCCTGTGAACTGTTCTCAGTGGATCTGACTGTCTCTCTCCCTCTCCCTCTGTATATATAGTCTACCTCTCTCTGCCAGTGCCCCTCCTCCTCCGACACCACAGCAGCTACGTCTCCAAAAAGCTATGACTCACATATTTCCCTCCCAGTTTTCTCTCCTTGCACATCCACTCTAGGGACCTACACAATAAGCTCCAGAGGAGGAACTAAGGTATTTCCTGCCATTGTAGGAGGTGAGGAGCAGAGAGGAGGAGGAGGAAAATATTTCCACTGAACTGGGCCAGCCCAGAGTAAAGTTTGGCAGGACGGGCCTAAATCAGCTCCACGGCTCCTCCTGTTTCAGAGTTAGCTCTGACGCAGAGTCTCTGGTATGTGGAGTGACCTGCCTATGAGTTCCATTCACCTCACTTCATTCTCCACACACAAACACTGCTCGTCCTCCTCATCCTGCAACCTTTTGTCATGGAAAAACTGAACTATTTTAGGAAGAAGACATGCTGAAGAAGGAAAACGGGCGCCCAGGTTATCGTAACCACGCAGGAATGTCCCATTACACATTTCACCATACAGCACCCCCCCCCCCCCCCCCCCCCACCACCACCACCACCACCACCACTGGATTAGGAAATAGTTCATCTACTAAAGATAATGACAGAGAAATGATCAAACTCTGCATTTTCATTTTCAAGTCTCAGTCTCGTGTGACATTTTTATTCTTTCTGCAGTTCCTGAAAATTCACAAATATCACAAACTGATAACGAAGATCAATTATTGGAAAAGATCAATGAGAGTAAAAAGCCAATCACACCAAAAAATACAAGGAGACTTTATTAGTGCTCTGGAAATGCTGCTGGAAATGTAAACATGTTTACAGCATTTCAGCAACAGATGTCCTCTCCAAGTTATCATCATCTGTAGCCTGCTGCACACAAGAGCAAACTGCGGCGCAAATGGCCTCGAATGACCAATTGCTCAGCAGATACCTCGCTGCGTGCGCCTGATTTTCAGTGATTTTTCCACCTCATGAGACACTGAGGTGAATATCTGACTGGTTTGATATTTTCCGCCTAACGGGGGTAAAAACTTGCAGAGAACGCGCTTTGATTGGCCACAAGAACATTTCAGCTCAGCCAGCAGCTCACACGGTCCCCCTCTCTACTGTCCACTCCTTGTTCCCTCCTCTCCACGATTCATCATGCTGCCTCACTAACACCTACGACCGACTGGAAATTGTTGGTTGTTGTTGTTGTTGTTAGCCTCAAGGGCAACGTGCCGATTATCACTTGTAAGTTGCGTTGGACAAAAGCGTCTGCTAAATACATAAACATAAACACGGTGAGTTTTTACCCCCCCCGTAAGGTGGAAAATATCAAACCAGTTGGATATTCACCTCAGCGTCTCGTGAGGCGGAACATTCAGTGAAAACCAGGCGCACAAAGCGAGGTATCTGCTGAGCTAACGGTCATTCGTGGTCGTTTGCTCAGCAGTTTGCTCTCGTGTGCGGCTGACTTCAGGCCCTTCTCTGTGAAACAAAAGGACGAGAAGACATCTTTGGGTGCAGTTGGTGAATTAAACAAGACACAATGAAGACTTTGTGACAAAACAGCAGCATGATAAACACGCAGCTAGGGCTGGGGGTAAACGATTATTTTTAAAACGATTATTCTGACGATTATTTTATCGAATAGTCGACTATTCTAATGACTATTTAGACAATTAATCTAATGATTATTTTTCTATTGCACAGTTAATAAAAACCAAAAAATCTCAAATAAATTCCTAAAAAAATTGATAAATTGTTACTGTAAGAGAATAAACACTACAGGCCTTCCATTTTGTGTAACACTGCTTTTATTGTGTTGCGGTTGGTTATGTTCTGGTGACATGTAGAACTTGGGAGTGCAGGCTGCTGCCTGAGAGGTGGTTGGAGAGATGGAGTGTTTCCATGCTGCTTTGTTTTGGTCACTTATGTGCGTGAGGCGAGTGGTGTTACGACCCTTCCTGGGGAGTTTGGCTTGTGTGCAAAAAGGAAGGGACAATAACGTGGGATTTAAAAGTTAAAATGATGATCAGGTTTATTTACAACTACAAAAAATCATAAATCTTTCCATCCACAGGTTGGGAGTAATAAAACTAATTCTGCCTGTGGGGAATTAAAACAAAAGTACAAATAAGTAGGGATGTCCCACTGGGCAAAGATTACTGGTTTCTGGACCAAAATAAGGATCTCCAAAGGTCCAAACTCTAAACTGGGCGGTTAAACCAAACTCAAGGTGATATTTTAAACTAAACCGAAAACCCACGACACTCGAAATGTAATAAAAGGGAGATCTACGCCACAAAACAGATGAACTCTAAACGAAAACGTAACAGCCTATCCAAACGCAAGAAGCTGTTAGCGAAGATGCTAACAGTAGCTTTACCAACGTTAAATTGAAGTTACCGAGTTTAAATAAACCAAAAACACCCAGCAAACAGACCAGCAGGGAGGAGAGACTGCTACCACCAAAACAGCTCTCCTAATGTCTGAAAGAAGCTCCTTTATGAAAGGAGAAACGCTCCTGGTGATTTTCTACATCTGCGGTAGAGACGGAGCAGCGCATCTGACCCCGGAAGTTGTTGTCCGTTGCCGGGAGACGAAGGCGGGCAAAACAGGAAAGGAATCTAGTAGCAGAAGGACATTGTTCCGGGTCTTCGGTATTTGGCGGAGATGTTAGCGAAGGCGGAGAAGAGGGCGAACTAGAGGAAAAACATGCAGATTCCTCCTCTACAAACTCCTGGGGATGCAACAAGTGGGCGTAGTGCGTCGACTACCGGATCTGACGTCGACGAATTTTTAGAGTCGAGCCGTCTACGTCATCGACGCTTCGCTACAGCCCTACACGCAGCCCCACATGAACCGACCACAAACAAATGATTTCTGGAACAAATGTTTTAATGTGATTTGAACACCTTCTCACGATTATACGTCTCCCACTTATCAACGGTTTATTAAACTTTATGTAATCAGAACTCTAGTTGAAATAAATGGAGATTACATAATGTAAAAAATGTAAATGCAGTGAAACTGCGTCACAGACAGGAACTCCAGCTCGACTCACATGTCTGCCCTGTTTGGGACCAGTAGGGGTGCTGCTGGAGCTGCGAGGTGTGGGTCCCAGTAGCCCCCCGCTGCCCAGCAGACCCAGCCTGGCTGCTGGCAGGCTCCTGGAGGGCATCTGGAACTGGTGGAGGCTCCTCCTGGTCGACACGCTGCTCCCAACACAATCAGTGGTGGGCAGAGAGTTGGACTGACCAAAGCGGCTGCAGGAGGATGAAAGAAAACGTTCAATAAAAATTAGACACAACCTAAATTTATCCTTAAGCTTATTCAGGTGACAGAGAACCATTCTAACTCTGATAAACAGATGACACCTGAAACACAAAATCCTTGCTAAATACTTTTATTTTGTAATTTATTCATTTATGTAAGTCAGACTTCATGATGTCAGAAGGACTACCTCCTCTGTGCTCGGTACCCTGCTATGTCAAGGAGGGTTTTCCTGGGAATGGACCGAAACAGCCTCTGGACCTGTTGTTTCCATGACAACAGCCTCTTCTTCTGCGTCTCAGTGAAGGACTGAAAACACAGCGAGACAGGAGAAAAATTAGTACAAACCAGAAACTCAATAAAACAGAAAAATGTCACAAAATTTAGTTTCCTAATGCATTAAAATACAAAAACAGTTTCTAAGTGTGATCAGCCGATTGTTTATCCAATTCAAAACATTGAAGAGCATAATATAGATGTTAGCAGACACATGAATATTTTTCAGTGATGGATGTTGGAGACTACCTCATGGATGAGGCATTTGTCGATGAGCTGCAGGTAGGAGCTGATGTTGTCCTCGTCCGGCCGTGACACCAGCAGCTGTGTGCAAACTGAAGACGGGGTCAAGATTTAAAACAAGACTTCCTCATGAAACGCAGAGCGGCGGTGCACGGAGCTCACCTTTGCCCATGACACGAGTAAACTGACCAGGTAGATCCCCCTCAGCGACAACACTCGTGCCAGACTCGGCCTCCCCGGAGAGGTGGGAGCCGGGCGCTGAGCTTTTGCTCTCTGGGCCTAGCAGGGGGCGCTGCAGAGAGGACTCGTCGCCACCGCTGAAAGCTTTGATGGGACTCATGATCATCTGGTGGAGCTCCTGCAGAGGGGAGCGGAGGTTGCTGCCCTCCAGCACATCCTAGTGAACATGACATCAGTAAGTGAATAAACACACAGGAAGTTCAGGAGTTTTGTTACATGATGTCACTTTAAATTCAAACAACACACGATGACTCGTACTTACAGGTTCTAGTATAAAACTGGGAGGCATCAGTCAAGTGATGCTAAAAGATACACCTGCTTTTAATTTACAACTTGTGTCTATATGCATGACACACACCTTCTGCTCCCCTTTACAGAGCCATCAAGTCTGTACGGAAGTGTGTGTAAACCCAAAATACCAAGCAGCGGGTGTCGTGTTTCCTGATCCCTACGAAAGCAGCAGTAGCTCCAGTTAAAAAGAAGTGTTGGTGAAAAGGTTATGCCTGAATTTAGCTGGCCAAAGCAGTCCCTTCTGCAGCGCCCTTGAATATCATTGTCTGGCTTCGAAGGCTGAGTGGGGGGGGGGGGGGGGGGGGGGGGGGGGGAGGCGGCGGAAGAGTTCAAATACCGGGCCCAAAACTCTCCCTTCTGGTGTTCTGTTACTGGTTCATCTTAGACACACAACCCTTACAGGAAATGACATGCTCACAGGATTAGACCCAGTGTTGTCCACGAAGATTACCGGCCCATTCAGCTGTTTAAAAACAAAGAAGTGGGAGAAAACGATAACAAAGGGCTGAGCGTGTGACGGTGCTCTAACCTTTTCCAGGCTTCGCAGAAGGTTCTGCCTGTCTTTGAGTTTCTGGATGCTGATCACAATCTTGTGTCTGGCTCCTTTAGTGACTTTCTGTCGAAGGAAAGGCATGTTAGCAACAGCACTGGAGAAATGTCTCACACTCATCTTTTTACATGTTAACCCTTTGATGCATAACGGTCACTACAGTGGACAGGTACTCAAAATAGTTATTTATTTGTTTTTGCTATTAAGCACAGCTGTTGAAGACTTTATTGCATTTGAGCCCCTCCATTTCGACTTCAGTAAGCCAAGCCAACATATTTCATGCCCAGAATGCACGCTGTCCACTGAGGTGGACATGTAATAAATTATTTGTAAATCATAAAATTTTACAAAAAAATATTTGCTGAAATTGGTTTCATTCACACCTAAAGATGAATGAAAAAAATTGTTAAAAAATCATGGTTGAAGATTTCATAATTCATGCATCAAAGGGTTAAGTTTGATAAGGACGTCACTAGCTCACCCTAAACACCTGTTCCTCAGAATTGCAAGAAAATTATATAAATCGGAGTTTAGTTTCCTTCAAAGTGATCAGCCAGATGTTTTGAGAATGAGAGGACACTCCTGATGTTTTTAAGCTAGCTGCCCACATTTCTGTGTAGACAGACAGAACTGGAGGAAGTGTGCAGCTTCCTGGGCAGCTGGAGCTGAATTAAATTTAGCTGCGTCCTGCTGTAAAGAATAGATTCCTCAATGTCTTCGTACACAAGAAACGTACGTGGTGGCTATATTTGTCTTCAATCATATATTTCCAACATAGTCGACTTTAAACAAATTCAAGACAAAAAATGGAGTTCAGTCCTAATGACATCATAGATTAAAGAGTATAGTACTCAGGAAATATTGTCAGCTACTCACTGTTGCCTTACACTACACAAAAAGCAACAAGTCCAACATTTAAGAGAGTAGGACTACTGATGCACCCTTCCTGCTTTTTATGTGTGTACATCAAACTTACATTCTGAAGACAGGATGAACATTTCTAAGCTCTGGGTTTGGACACAGACCTGTGTCCACACAGGGGACAACTGCTCTGTCCATTCAAACCTTCACCTTTACAGTCAGTTTAAAAAAACCAATACATTCATGGAAAGTTACATTTTTTAAGCCAGTGTGTGTGTGTGTGTGTGTGTGTGTGTGTGTGTGTGTGTGTGTGTATAAACCTGTGCCTCTAGTTGCTCTTCAGTCAATGACATCATCTCATCGTAGGCCATGGTGGAGAACAGAGGGGCATATTTATGGAGCCGGAGACCTTTGAGCCATGCAGGAACATCTGAGGAGGAGGCAGCAGGTTTCAGCATCAGTGAGACAGAAAACGTTCTCTCTGTTCTCTACAAATAATCAACAAAACCATTTTATACAAAAACTATTAGTTTGGAAGTAAAGTTTTGATAAACTCTCTCGTGCAACTAAGAAGGAATAAACACCACAAAATGTTATTTTATTTATAAACTTATTTACATGCAAAGCTGTTTTACTATAATTAAACTTTAATGTGTTTAATTGTTACCAAAAAATGACAAAAGATAAATGCAGAAAGTTGGATTTTGCTGAATTATTAATAATAGGAATGATAGGTCGAGTCTAATTTAATACAAACCTGTGAAAACTGTTGAAAATGTTCATTATTATGAAAATTCAGGATTTTTTTCCCCAACATGATACACCAGAAATCACAGATATATACACTGCTCAGCCCAAAAAAGTCACCATTTGTACTTAACTGCAATAGGTAGAAGCCTCCCATTGGATAATTACTGCATGGGCGATTATCTTTCAGCTGGCAGCAAGTTATTTAACCCCAACGGGTGCAATGAGTTCAATCTCATTTCTTAAACAACCATGTGGAAGGACACATCTGGTGGTCGTGGAAGAGATGTTACTCTCTTTGAGAAGGGTCTGATCATTGGCATGCATCAAGCAGGGAAAACATCTAAGAAGATTGTAGAAACGACCAAAACTGGGTTAAGAACTGTCCAATGTATTATTAAAAACTGGTCTGATGAGTCCAGATGAACCCTATTCCAGAGCGATGGTGCATCAGGGTAAGAAGAGAGGCAGATGAAGTGATGCACCCATCCTGCCTAGTGCCTACTGTACAAGCCTGTGGGGGCAGTGCTATGATCTGGGGTTGCTGCAGTTGGTCAGGTCTAGGTTCAGCAACAGGATTTGCTCCAAGAAAAAGGTCAGCTGACTACCTGAATATCCCAAATGATCAGGTCATTCCATCTTCCCTGATGGCACGTGCATATTCCAAGAAGACAATGCCAGGATTCATTAGGCTCAAATAGTGACAGAGTGGTTCAGGTAGCATGAGTCATCATTTTCACACATGGATCGGCCACCACAGAGTCCAGACCCTAACTCCATCATTTGGATGTGCTGGAAAAGGCTTTGTGCAGTGGTCCGACTCTACCATCATCAATGCAAGATCTTGGTGAAACATTAATGCAACACTGGATGGAAACAAATCTGGTGACGTTGCAGAAGCTTATCAAAACAATGTTGCAGTTAATGTGTGTCGTAATCAAAGCTAAAGGCGGTCTAACGTAATATTAAAGTGTGTGATCTTTTTCCTTTTTGGTGGCAACTTTTTTTTGGCCGGGCATTGTATTAAAGCTTATCAAAAAACATTTTCAGGACATTTAAAACTAATATAAACAATAATATAAAACCATCTATATAAGATAAAATGTAAAACACAGAGCTACAGAGCTCAGCCATGTCTCTATAAAGGGTTTCTTTCAGCATGTAGGTCTCATAAACTGATAAATTCTCTTGGCAATTGAGTAAGGTTACCAGTTATCAATACTAAGCTTGGGCAGTATTATGGTATTACCGTATAGAGCCGGTGGTAAAAAAAATACCAACGGCATCAGTTCCAATACCTTCATGAAAAAAAACCCAGTGCACATAGGAGACGAGGATTACAAAAAATAAAAATAGAGATACATAAAAGTCATTTAACGTATAAAACGGATGCGTGGTTGAATTTTCTGTTTTACATGAATTGTTTAAAATGTTTGGTCTAACATAATGTATATGAACCTGATGTCATCACGTGACCGCGCGGAGACACGCCGACAGAAAAATGGCAGCTCACACACCAGCTGACTCGGTGTCTGAAAACAACAACTTCTGCGGTATGGGAGTGTTTCTGGTTCAAAGCAAACTTAAAATGAGAGATGGTAAACACTGATGAGGTCATTAGTGCAAACAAAAGATGACAGCAAAAGATGCACGCCCCGTCGGCACTGCAGAGGAGCGAGCCGTAGCTGAAATAGCAGACTTCTGTTTGGAGCCTGTTATTAAAAGAGACGACAACACGCTTTTCTGGTGGAAATAAGCAGCCAGCCTTCACCAGATGTCACGACTAGCACGAAAGTACCCGCACGTCTCATCAAGCTCATCGAAGTGGGTTTTCAGCGGTCGGTCCACAATGATCTAGGTTGAAGCTGGAAAAGGTAAACATGCTGGTTTTTCAGCCGAAATGTCTTTTAATAAGATGTGTTTTCACCAAGTTGTTAATATTATGTGTGTTTTGTTATTGCTTTAGTATTAGTGTTTGTTATTCAGTTTCTAAACGGTGAAAGTCCAAACCAACAGCTTGGTAATTCTACTTGAGGCTTACGTGATAATTTTTAAATTAGGCTCGGTAATACCGAACACTGTGGTACAATGTGGAGGAAGCAAGACGGTATTAAAATTTGGATACCGCCCAAGCCTAATCAATACTTCAAACTCACAATCAAAAAGATTAGAAGAAGAAACAATCTCTTATATAGCACCTCTCAACATTAAAAACTATATATATATATATATATATATATATATATATATATATATATTATTCAAAAATGATTAAATAATGATTTAAAAATGTTTTAAAAAGAAATAATAAGCAGGACCATTTTAGCTAGTCTTCATCGTTCCTTAAATCATAGCAGAAGAAAATCTGTTATTTTAATGGTTGGTTACAAACTAAAAGCTGGACAGACAGAAGTTTAGGACAAAAAGCAGCTTTAGTGACAAACGCACATTTAAAAGAAGGAAAAATGAAAACTGCTGGAGGTATCCAGCACAACCATCAGTCTGTGTCACTCACCCCTCATGCCACTCAACTCCTCATGGAAGGAGCTGCGATGCAGACCTGAACTGCTTCCTAAACCAGCATCCTCCAGATGTTCACTGCCTCCACTACCTGAGGAGGCGATGCTGCTCTGGGGGGAGAGGGGGGCGTGGTCTGGAGCCGGGCCTCTAGCAGTGCGTAGGTCCTCCTGGGACAACCAGACGTGGCCCAGAGGTTGGCTGTTGGGGCCGCTCATTGGAGGCGTGAGGGATACCGAGCGCTTTAGGGTGCTGTGCTGCTGACTCCCACCTCCACTGGAAAGGACTGCAACAACAAAAAAATAGTAAAGACTGAAATCAGGAAATCTCAGATTAAACCTTTTCTAGTATCTGGTGCAGTGGTTCCCAAACGTTTCAACTTCTGACCCAAAACTTAATAAACACTTACAAACCCCAACATCACCAGTTGAACCAGTCAAACTTTACTCATATCCATTTACAACCATTAATTATAGCTTTCATATTAATTTTCATGAATAGGGATCATAATTTTCCAGTTATAAAGCGACTGAAGCTTCACTCTCTTACTGAATACAGCCAAGACTTCCATCTTCTGCATTTTGTCATAACAGCTGAAATCTGTAACTCATTTAAAAACACCAACAACCTTGAGACGTCAACTGCAATGTCCAAATAGTAAAAGTGGCAGCAGCATCCTAAAGATGGCTGGAGGGTGTAAACAGAATATAAAGGTGCAGAGCTACAGAGCTTTTTGTGCCGCCTCTCTGACGGGGTAGTCTGCCACCAGCACTTCAGTCTCTCCTCCTAGTCCTATATGTGGTCCTTGCTCTGTTGGCGCTATGTATAGGACTTCATGGAGACCGTTTAAAATAGCTGCCCAGCTAACATTTCAAGTTCCAGTCCCTAAATATTAGCTATTTTCTCTAAATACAGTCTCCCACAAAGGCTGCCTTACAAGGGAAAGGATGGTTGGTATGTGCTGCTGTGGCTTGGACTAAAGCTGAGAGTATGAGAGGAGGTCATCCGGATGTTCTATCAGTAGCTCACAGGTTGATGTGTTTAGACATTTATACTCCTGGTCATCACCACCATGAGATCAATGCCCTGTTGACAAGTTAAGAGATAAAAACTAGGTGAATGATGGATTAGCGACCAAAATAATGGCTATACTCGTTGTTGGACGAAACAAATAAAAAATATATATATAATACAGGTATGTCTTCCCACGATGTTATAAACACCAGTTAGCTTGTAGTATATTAAACGTTTACTTTCAGTGGTGAGAACCTGTTGCTCCACATCTCAGTGCTAGAGGCTGGGGTAACTATAGTTTATAGGTTGTGAAATCCTGAGGTCTTTGTGTGGGTCTGAAGCTGCAAGCAGTCAGAAATACATGAGGATTTTTCTTGGAGCAGTGAGCAGGGTTTTAAATGTGCCTTTATTTATAAACCCTCAGCTGTTTCTTTCATCTCCCTGAAAACGAAGGAGAAAAAATCCACCAAGCCCTTACATTCATGTCTGGAAATATCCTGCTCTGACCATAGTTATGTTCAATACCCTCGCAACGTGTTGTCTTCAAGCTAACACTCACTGTCAGAGAGCCAGGGGTTCAGCGTTTGCTTAGGTTCAGGGTTCCTTGGTATTACGGGATGGGATTTTATTCATGCATTACTTGTTATTGTGCTTTAATGTGTACTTTATAATTAATGCTATATTAGCAATCATTTTAATCCTATTAATTACAGCTCAGTTGTGTCATATGAGAAAAGAAAACAATTATCCTCAGAGAGCCACATTTAATAGTTTGTGTTTACGAGTTGAAGTTCAAAGACCTTGGTGTGAACTTGTGCAACGAGGTGGTCAGTGGTTCTGATCCTTCGAGCTAGGGCTGCTATTAACATTGCAACATCTGGGGGCTTTGTTAAAATATATGCCATATAAGACATATGTTGTCCTCAATTAACGTGAAGTCTAGAAACAAAGTTTATAAATATATGGAACCAAATTAATTAACAAAACAGGAAACATAGTTTGTCTGAGAAAATGTACACATTCCACTTGACAAGGATCACATCCACGGCACCCAACCCTGACAATCACGCACACTGAAATCAGTCGACAAAGTGTGACTAAACATTTTATATGAAGCTCCGACTCATCAGAAGACTGATCAGAATGAAATAGTGAACAAGTGATCACACTTTTATGGTGGCACTGACCCACAAAGGTCTATCTGACAGCTTACTTTGACAGATGTTTCCTCAGTTGTACGTTGCTAATATCTGCTAGCATGCTAATGTGCTGCTGGAGGGTGTCTGAACTCTGCATCACCTGCCCTGTCTGTATGAGAAAACTCATAGTCGTTCTAAAAACTTGCTCAAAGCCTTCCAAACGGATGGCAGAATGTAAGCAACAGCATACTGTGATGCACTAGAAGCACAAAGTAGAAGAAAAACTTGGAAAGTTGAACGTTCATCAATAAGATCTAACTCTCTAAATCTTAAATGGTATACACATGATTTGGTACGTTTTTCCCAAGCCCCCACAATGCGGGTGAAAAATTGAGGCCAACGCGGAAGTGACAAAAATTGCAATTCCACCCTCATCCACTGGGGGCTGGTGTCAGAAGCGAGCAAATCCTCATTGACTTCCATGTTAAAAATACCAATTTCACAGCAGAAATAAACATGTTTACAGCCTGGTTCCAAAACATGTTTTGTGTTTAAATTATCTAGTTTACACTCATGACAACTCTGAGGGGGGTGAATTTTTTTCTCACTCTTCTGTTTAAGTGTATTAAAAGCCTAAAATTCTGTATAATTAATGAGCATCAGACCCACGTGACCACAGAGCAAGCTCCGTGGAAAGGCCTCAGTAGAGCTTCGGTCTGGCCTGGAAAATGCTCCGGGATTTTGAGTCTCTGTGTTTGTGTATTCTTTTTTGGATATTTTTTGTGCAATTGCTGGACAAAATGACTTGATGTGGTATTAATTGCACTAACAGAGCATCCAAGGAGTCTCCACTTCATTTTTTTTGGTAATTCAATTCAATTCAATTCAAGTTTATTTATATAGCGCCAAATCACGACAAGAGTCGTCTCAAGGCACTTCACACAATAAACATTCCAATTCAGGTAAGTTCATTAAGCCAATCAGAAATAATGTTTCCTATATAAGGAACCCAGCAAATTGCATAAAGTCACTGTGTCAGTGACTTTACAGCAATCCTCATACTAAGCAAGCATAAAGTGACAGTGGAGAGGAAAACTCCCTTTTAACAGGAAGAAACCTCCAGAGAATCCCGGCTCAGTATAAGCAGCCATCCTCCACGACTCACTGGGGATTGAGAAGACAGAGCAGGCACACACACACACACGTAAGTAAAATTATATTTATGTATTTTAGGTCACTGCCGAGCTGAACTTAGATTTTAACATGTACTGTTTAAACATGAAATTTAAATGTAATAGGGTAAACCCCAGTACATTTAACATAATGCTGCACTTTAGAAAATGAAATTGTTGAATTTTAACATGTTGGTGGAGCTGGGTTCCGACTATCGGCTTGTGGAGCTCTCGGGAGACCTCTGTTTTCCACCCGGTTCTCCCTCCCCGCATCTCTGTCTGATCGCGGCTTCTGTTTGATGCGCGGGCTGATGGCTTGTGGAGCTCTGGGATGGAAACCTTTCCACCCGGTTCTCCCCAGTGGCAGCTCTGCGCATCTCAGATCGCAGCGGCGCTTGTCTGCTGTGCGGCTGCCGGCTTGTGGAGCTCTCGGAGACCTCTGCGTTCCACCTGGTTTTACCCAGCGGTCAGCCCGGCGTAAAGCTGACTCAGAAGCTCTGGTGTTGTGCACAGTTAACTCCGGTTGTAGCTAGGTTGCTACCTCTGTTAGCTTAGCTCCCACCTCCACGTTAGCTTTGGGTTAGCTTCAGGTTAGCTTGTAGCTAGTTCGACCGGGTGTCGTCAGTTGATCCCAGCCTTATAGGTCTACCCTCAGCTTCTCCTCTTTTCCCTCTTTTGGAATTGTCTGGGCTTGACGGAACCTGTGACACAGTCAAAATGGCGGTGGTGGCCACCTCCCATTTATCTTCAAAAATGTGTTATTGGCGTCTATTGAAACCCATTGTCCAATATTTATATGTCAATGGTTTTTCCTCATGTTTAAAGTTTCCATATCATGTCATTTTAAAACTTTGAGAGCAAAAGGAGGCACAGTATATGAGAAGTTTAATGTTGGCACTACTGAGATGTCATTTATCTTAAATACGAGTTATTTTCATCAGCCTGAATTTATACCCAGAAATAAAACACTTTGTTTCAGCTAAACTCCGCCCATGTCCGCTCTGAAAAAACATGCCTACAACAGCGTCTTAGGCGAGTCAGTCACTGTGTTGGCTATGGTGGTCCAGTGGTTAAGGCATCTGTCTGAGCACTCCAGCCACTGGACTACCAAGTCTGTTACATGACACCAGTCGCCTAAGACACATATCCTGAGCTGGCCAGAGGAGACAGGTTTCAGACCAGAGACTAGCTTCCGAGAGAGGAGCAGGGTCTGATAATGAGACTAGTTTACATTGATGCTTTATAAGATTTTCAAAGTAAAACTCAAAATTTGCAGCTCAAGCAAGAAAATGAATGAATGTGGCCAAAATGGGTTTGGGTTTTTTCAGGAGGAAATAACAATATTTCATGGTAAAAAGCTCCAAAAAGTGGATTTTCCATGATATGACCCCTTTAAGATATTCCACAAAGAACAAACTTGGATGTATCAAGTAAATTATTTATATATCACACACCTTCTTCACCCCAGAGTTGCTGGTTTAATTCTTACTTAGAGATTATCAGATGATGCTGCCAACTTTAATTATTTACTTTACAAAAGCTAATAGGATATACTTTAGCTGCATCCTCAATTTCCAGTCCAATAGCTCCACATAATAACAATTTTACATTTATAAGAGTATCAGGTCTGAAATCATAAAAGTGGCGTCCTCTTGTGATTTCATTTTCAATAAACTAGCTGGCGATGAAAGGCGAAACATCAATTATATTATATTTCAATTATATTTAAGAAACATATTATTGTTTGGGTGCAGCATGATGATGCCACAGCTGGTAGCACTGTTGCCTCTCAGCGACATGTTTGCAGGGTCAAGTCCCATCTACGACCTTTCTGCATGGAGTTAGCATCTTCTCCCCATGAATGCATGAGCTCTGGCTTCTGCCCTCTGTCCAAAAAAATGAATGTCAGGTTGAATGGTTACTAAATAGTCCCTAAGTGTGTGTGACTGGATTTTTATCTTGTTTGTTTCTCTGTGTGTCCCTGTCATGTACTGGCAACCTGTCCAGTGTGTCCCCTGCCTCTCACCTGAATTCTGCTGGAGATAGAAACCAGCTCCCTACGACCCTACTAAAGAAAAGCGGTTCGGAAAATGAGTGACAGTGAGATTATTATAGGTGACGGAAATAACAAAGCCTCATTCCTAAAATGTACTAGGAAAAGAAGAGGACAATTGCAGTAGAAATGTGTATAAATACCACTTACCTGAAACTAGAAATGGTCTCAAGTGAACAGGAATAGATCTTTAAAATAACTAATGTCTGAATTTGTATAACAGTAATGTAATTAGTGTGTCTTATGGTTGAAACCTGTCACATAAACATGCCATGTCTGTCCAAAGCTGCTGGTAAAAGGAAATGGTTTAAAACATTTTAAAAACAGTACGGTGCACAAGACCACTAGAACAGAACTTTACTCACTCGTGTTACTTCCCCCACTGGTTCCAACCGTGTGGATGGTTGCAGGCACTGAGGATGATGGGTACAGTTGGAGGTGTCCGTTCTCGCAGCCCTGCTGCTGATGCCAGCCTCCGCCCATTCCTGAGTCCCTTGAATTTTGCCAGCCATTGAGGCGATCGTCTGAGCCGTAGCGCTGGTGGTGATGTAGGTTGTACAGATTGCCTGGTGAAGGTGTGTTTGTGGAAGAGGAAGATCCTGTAGAGGTGAGAGTGGATGGAGGTGTCGACTGGTGATGCTGATGGTGAGGCCCAGAAGGAGGCCGTTCCAGTGAATCTCCTCGCGCGGCCGCCCTCTCCTCCAGGTGGTTCAGCCAAAGCGCCAGAGCGGCACGGTCGTCCAGGGAGGTGGCAGGGTGGATGAGGGCGTAGGACAGGAGCTGGCGAGACTCCTCCAGGTGATGGCCATGCTCAATGGTGTGGGCCAGGATGCGCGGCAGCAGACGCATGTACTCACTCTTGGCTTCGGTGTTGCCAGGTTTGAGAAGTGGGAGATGAGTCAGGACCAGTGAGATGACATGCTCCTTAGGTTCGCCTTGCCACTGACTGATGAGAACTGAAATCACAACAAAAACAACAAGCTTTACACAACAGTATTAATCCACAAACATGCTGTGTTGAGAAAGCTTGTACATGTCTGTTTTATTAAGCGTTTAATAAAATCCGGTTAACAACTAATTAACTTCCTGTGAGGTATATTTACTGTGTCACACACCTAGTTAAACTGATGATAACTTAACATCTTTAATTAGCTTGAATAAACACTGATGGGAACAACAGGCTGATGCTTACAGGCCTCTAGTTGTTAACGGCTCCAATAACCTGTGAACACTCCAGATTTAATGAGAAAGACACACGAAACAATGCTGCAGCACCACCTTGTAGAAGGAATTAGACAAACGCTGTCCTGACCAACTACAGAAGACAACTTAACAAGGTCTGAAGGCTAATCATAAAAATGGTTCTGTTGTTCATAACCTGCAGGTCACCAAGCTCTACTGATGTCCGAGGCAGCGGGACGTCAGGAGTCTACTCCTTTTGTCTTGAACAACATGGCTATTGTTACCAACAGGTCTGGCGAACAGCTTTAGACAGCTTCACAAATAAATACAGGACACATCAGGAAGCAGACTGGCTTCACATCCTGCATGAGGGAAGTGTGTTAAATCTTTTACTACAGGGGGAACTATTAATGATGATGCTCTTGCCTGCAAGTCCCACACATGTGTGGCTATGTGATGATGTATACCACTAGCTGACCACTCAACAGGTCAAGCTCATCAATAAGTTTCTTATTAAATGTGTTTTCTGGAAGATCAGTGGACAACTAGCTCAGGTTTGAGTCTACTCAGCACAGAACTGACATATTCACACTAATCCATGCATTTCTCAGTGGAAAAATAAAGATAACCAGGAGATGTATTCAGATCTGTCAGAAACAAGACACGCCTACTCTAAGAACATGCCGCCCTGGAGTTTACAATCCGACAGTTACGCAAAAGGAAGAGGAAATGGAGAAATATGCTGGTTAAGAGGCTGAGATTAAATGGAGTGAAATGAGGAACAAAATGTGTGAAGAGGGTCGGGAAGTCACTCCAGTCTGCTCCTTGGATGATGTAATCCTTCATTCCTCTCTGTGAGGCCAGTCTCCATCTATCTGGGAACAGGACCTGTTCCATGATTAAAACAGATTCCTTTACAAATGACTAGAAAACATTAAGATATAGCAAATTAACTGCAGAATACTCCTAAAAGCCCACCAAAATAAGAATGTTGCTACTAAATTTTCTTTTCTAGTAAAAAAAGAAGTTTTACAGAGATAATAGAAAGTCTACAATAATTGTCTCATTTCTACTGATTACGGGTGCAATTGCCTGTGTTGTCAAACTGTTACCAACCTATTAATGGGTATGAAACTCACACCTGGAGGTCAGGATGCTAATTATGCCATTTTCGAGCAAATATTTTGAGGCTGATAGGTAAAGAAGTCGAAAGGGAGCAGTTCCCTCAAGAGTGAGCATGCCCCACCTCTTACCACTGTAGAAGGAGTCTGAGTTGACACCCAGGATAAGCTAAATGTCAGCAGTGAGTAGAAACACAAGACTGTGTTTCACACATGGAGCTGATTCAAAACTGCAGATTAAAGATGTTATGATGGACTGGAATCATATCCAAGCACCAGCTCTGGGAGAAGATATGTAAAAAAGTCCTGAAACATAGCTCATGGTAGCGTTGCACTTGCTAAAGCCATTTAAAATGGTCAATGCTGTTGGTCAGCAACTCAAATTAAAGAAGAGAAATATGACTAAGGTGAGAAGATGTGAAACAAAGTCATTTCGTGCTCGCGCATTTCAGGATGTACCTCGGTTGATGCAGAGTTGGCGACTTTTCTCATGGACAAATAAGTAAATAATATATATATATCTTAAATAATATATGAAAACATGAGCATAATACATGTAAAACTATGTGATTTAGCTCTCTTGTTGGCTAGAGCAGCACGTTCATGAAAGAGAGGCGTTGCTTTTTGCCGTAAATACGGAAATTAAAGTAGGTTATGATGTGATATGCATGTCAGCCACTAGCTGGTGCCATCAGATAAAAGAAAAAATACGGACAGCAACTTTTATGTCCAACAATTGTCTTTATTTACTGTGATACTAGCTCTGTTCCAATTGGTGTTTCAATGATAATGAATGAGTTTCTTTTTCATCTCAAATAAGTAATTCCTATCTAAATAAGCTGCAGATGGCTTTTCTTACTGCTCCAACACACTGCAGCTATAAATAGTACATACACAACGGACACAACCAGCCACTTCGAAGATGACTCCTTCAGTCAATGTGGCTTGGTCGTAGGGCTGGGCAATAAATCGAAAATCTATCGTTATCGAAATTTCTGTCTCTTATTGAGATAATTTTCCCCATGCCAATAAAGTTGATAATAATAAAAAAGTGAAAAATGTGTGTAGGTTGGCAACATTCATGTCCCTTTAAGAAGATGTATCACCTTGACTCACGTAAAAATGTGAAACATATGATCAAAATGAAATAAAACAATTAGACAAAGGCAAAGGACTGTTCTCATAAATATGTACAAGCAATCAAAACGGACTTAAAACAGTCTTTAAGTAATCAGATGCACATTGATCAGAAACTATTGATTGCAATGAATTATTGAAAGTAGATAATGGAATGTAGGTAGTGAGCTTCAGTGATTTTTGCAGCTCATTCCAGTCGTTTAAAGCAGCAAACTGGAATAAGGAGGCCAAAAGGAGATGCGACCTTTGGGAATAACCATAGAGATGAAGTTACTGGAACGTAAATTGCGCTGGATGTTGGAAGTGATGCGTAATGAGCAAAGACATGACGGAGTTTTACCGATTGTTCTGTATAAAAATTGATACCAATGTAACATTCTGCGGGAAGGGAGTGATGACCAGTTAACGAGTGAGTACCGATCACGATGATAAGTAGTGAAAGGGGCACCAATGACAAAACGGACTGCTGATTGATAAATGACATCGAGTTTATTAAGAAGTTTTTTGGAAGCAGTCCTATAAATGATGTCACCGTAATCTAAGATGGGAGGGATTGTCATTTTGACCAAGGTTGGCTTTGCAGAATGAGTAAAGGACGACCTGTTGAGGTATAGAAACCCAATTCTTGACTTGCCTTTAGAAAGTAATGAATTAATGTGAATGTCAAATGAAAGTGTGCTGTCAAACCAGATACACAAAGCTCGATACGTAACCTAAGCTACAACCCATCACATGGTTGAATTTGGATCACAATCCTAATGTATACTTCACAAACACATGTACAGACAGACATTTTCCTTTTATACTTCTCTGTTGGTCTGTCAGTGTTGGAAAGCAATTTCCTGCCAGGACGAGTGTTTCTAGGGGCTCTGTCTACCATTGCAGTGACATTTCTGGTCAACAACAGTTTATTTACTTCAGCTTGTAAACACAAATATCTTGAAGGAGGTGTGAATTTAAATAGAGTTTGTAGATTATTTTGTTCAATTAAATTCAAATCAATTCAGTTTATTTATATAGCGCCAAATCACGACAACAGTCGTCTCAAGGCTCTTCACAAAGTAATCATTCCAAAACAGTTCAGTTCAATAAGCCAATCAGTAAAAAGTTTCCTATATAACGAACCCAGCAGATTGCATCGTGTTTTGTTGATACTGGAATTTGTCACTGTTCTTATTTTGTTAATAAAGTTCAGAAAACTATGCTTGTAAATGCCAATCCACTCCAGGAGCAATGGCTGACAGAGAGCAAGTTTTCTTTTAGCTGACACCTCTTGATCTTGAAGAACAAATACTTTTGTTACAATGAATTCAACAGGTGTGAAGTGGACATCTCTGTTGTTGGACCAACCAATCACAGATGTGCACTCTCTGTTGTGTTCGATAGTTAAAATAAAGGGCTCTACTTTGTATTTCTGTTGAAGAGCCCTTGCAATGACAAAAAATGGCACTGCATGTCTCCGCACCAGATGGAGACATGTAAACTAGGCTTTTGTTCTGATTCATGGAGAGAATCAAGTTAGGGTGGAGCCTAGGGAGTGGTGCAGGTGTATTTGGTACCCAGAAGAAACCTTTTGGGAGAGCACGTAACAGATGTTCAAGAGTTATTGGTTTCCAGTTCCAAGTCAAGTCTCAACACTTTCAAATGTTTTTAAGCTTTTCTACATTTTGAAAAGTGAATGCCTGAAAAAATAAAACACCCAATCGGCTTGTATTTTTTTCTTGAAAAAGGGAAATGGATCAGGTTTAATTAGTTCAACGATGTACTAAACTGATGCACGATTGCTTCATCAACCCAATCAGGGATCGGTAGAGCAGCCATGTCCACCTCTTGGTCTGTGGCTCAGTAAGAGATAAGATTGTTTATAAGACTCAAGTCACAAACCTTCAGTCCAAGTAGAGTCCAGAGTCTTTGTTTTCACAACTTAGCTCAAGTCCAAATGTCAGACTGAAGTAATCATCTGTAGCATCTCTTCAGTCTTTATAAACGTGCTGCGATCCAGCCATGTTTTAATAGTAGTATGGCGCTGGATGTGCAGAATGTAGCAAGGTCTTAATCTAATGTAAACAGCATTCAACTTTAGGAAGATAAAAATTTTTAATTCAGCATGCTAGTCATTTATCCCCTTTGCTAAACCACAGCTTGAGAAGAAGCAGCTAATCTGTGAGAGTAAAGTGACAAACAACAGTTACGAGCCAGACACAAACAGGTTATCAAGAAACAACCATACTGGTTTTTCACAGCTTTGTCAAACTTGCATTACTTCCAGCCAACAGGGCACTTCTGATGGGAATTTTGGCAAACAAAAGCCACTGATAATTACTCAGCACAGGGCAAGGTTCTCCGTGCAAATTCAGCAGGGACCCTTAAAGTAGCAGCAGATGTTGAATGGATTTACCGCTGACCCTGAGATGGACCCAGCTCATCCTTTCAGATCACAAGACAAGAGTGACAGCGGTGGAAACAATGTGATTGTTTTAGCTCATTTGATAAACATCGGTTACGCACAAACAAAA